GTAAAGTTTGGTGGTGGAGGGATAATGGTCAGGAGCTGTTTTTCAGTGTTTGGGCTAGGCCCCTTAGCTTCAGTTCCCAGTTCCAAGGGTAATATTAATGCCATGACACACAAAAGATTTTAAACATTTATTTGCCAAAAGTTGTTATTGTGTGTTGCGCTGGTCTGAGTGGATCAGACACAGCAGTGCTGCTGGAGTTTTTAAACACCTCAGTGTCACTGCTGGACTGAGAATAGTCCACCAATCAAAAATATCCAGCCAACAGCGTCCTGTGGACAGCGTCCTGTGACCACTGATGAAGGAATAGAGGATGACCAACACAAACTGTGCAGCAGCAGATGAGCTATCGTCTCTGACTTTATATCTACAAGGTGGACTGACAAGGTAGGAGTGTCTAATAGAGTGGACAGTGAGTGGACACAGTGTTTAAAAACTCTAGCAGCACTGCTGTGTCTGATCCACTCGTACCAGCACAACACACACTAACACACCACCACCACATCAGTGTTACTGCAGTGGTACCTGCTCTGTGAGGGTCCATGGGGGTCCTGACCACTGAAGAACAGGGTAAAAGGGGGCTAACAAAGTATGCAGAGAAACAGAGGAACTACAGTCTGTAATTGTAGAACTACAAAGTGTACCTATATAGTAAGTGGAGCTGATAAAATAGACAATGAGCATAGAAACAAGAAGGTGGTCATAATGTTATGCCTGATCATTGTATGTGTGTGTGTACATATATATATATATATATATATTATATATATATATATATATATATATATATACACACACATATATATATATATGTGTGTGTGTGTGTGTGTATATATATGCATGTACAACCCCATTTCCAAAAAAGTTGTGACGCTGTGCCAACTGTAAATAAAAACAAAATGCAATGATGTGAAAATCTTGTATTTAAACCCTATAAACCCTATTTGTCATTGACAACAGTACAAAGACAACATATCAAAGGTTGAAACTGAGAAATTTGATTTCTTTTTGAAAAATATATGTCCATTCTGAATTTTATGCCAACAACACGTTCCAAAAACAGTTGGGACAGGGGTAACAAAAGGCTGGTAAAGTTACGTAATACAAAAAAAAACTGGTGGTTGACTAGCAACAGGTCAGTAACATGATTGGGTATAAAAAAGAGCATCTCAGAAGGGCTAAGTCTTTTAGAAGTAAAGATGAGGAGGGGTTCTCCAGTCTGTGAAAGACTGCACGATCGAATAGTGCAACAATTCAAAAATAACGTTTCTCAACATAAAATAGCAAAGACCTTTTGCTTTTCATCATCTACAGTACATAATAACATTAAAAGATTCAGAGAATCTGGAGAAATCTCTGTATACAAGGGACAAGGCCAAAACTTTGGGCCCTCAGGCGGCACTGCATTAAAAACAGACACAATTCCATAGTGGAAATCACTGCATGGGCTCAGGAACACTTCTGAAAACCACTGTCTGTGAAAGCAGTTTGTCTCTGCATCCACAGATGCAAGTTAAAACTTTAAAATGTAAAGATGAAACCATATATAAACAGGATCCAGAAATGCTGCCAGCTTCTCTGGGCCCGAGCTCATTTAAAATGGACCGAGGAGAAGTGGAGAAGTGTCCTGTGGTCTGATGAATCAACATTTAAAATTCTTTTTGGAAATCATGGACACTGTGTCCTCCGGGCTAAAGACCACTCAACTTGTTATCAGTGCACACTTCAAAAAGCCAGTATTCATGATGGTACAGGGGTGCATTACTGTACGTCATGGGTGATGTGCACATCTGTGAAGGCACCATTAATCCTGAATGATATATACAGGTTTTGGCACCATATGCTGCCATCCAGACAACATCTTTTTAATTGAAAGCCTTGATTATTTCAGCAGGACAATGCCAAACCACATTCTGCATGTGTTACAACAGCATTGCTCCGTATTAAAAGAGTCTGGGCGCTAAACTGGTCTGCCTGCAGCCCAGACCTGTCACCACTGATAACATGTGCTGGATTATGATATGAAAAATATGACAAATGAGCCCCCAAACTGTTGAGCAGCTAAAATCCTATACCAAACAAGAACGGGAAAACATTTCACTTTCAAAACTACAGCAGTTGGTCTCCTCAGTTCCCAAACGCTAACAGTGTTGTTAAAAGAAGAGGTGATGAAACACAGTGGTAAACATGCCCCCGTCCCAACTTTTTTGGAATGTGTTGTTGGCATCAAATTCAAAGTGGGCTTATATTTTTCAAAAAACAATAACATTTCTCAGTTTTAACATTTGAAATGTTATGGGGATGTAATATGAACATACACATAATCTTACTATTATTACATATATCACTATATAACACATTATAGATTTACAGATTTAAAAGAGAAAGCTGACTAAAGTGAAGAAACACAATGAGTGCTTCCAGGCAGTGTAATGCATGATAAAATTAAGAAATTGACATCCTTCCAGTTGACCTCAATTTGGACTAAGATAGCAAGAATAAGATCTAAGTGACTTTAAAAACTGGTCCATTTTTGGAGCATGGATGGCAGGAGCTTCAGTCACAAAGGCTTCTCAAATGGCTAGTGTTGCAATAGGAACAGTGTTTAAAATGACATCTCCATTTAGGTCTATGTGACAGAGGCCAGTAATTATTTTGGAATCTGTGGTCGAAAGCACATGTTCAATGACCATAGTGCTTTAGTGCGATATGTAAGGAAAAACAGAAGAGCAACTGTTCCTCAAGTAACTGACTATGTCAATGCAGGAAGCAAGAACAGCCTGCAGACAGCAACATAGAAAGGGATATTATAGTAGGGCTGCAGTGCATAAAACCCTCAGTACAAGGACGAAGGCACATTTGAGAGATCAGTGGTGCCAAAACCATAGGCACTGGTCTACAGAGATATGGAAAAAGTGATATGGTCACATGAGTCATCCTTTACCACATTCTTCACAAGTGGCTGAGTGCTTGTGCAGCAAACACGAAGAGAACAGGCCTGAGTTATTGACCCCTACAATGAGAGGGTCAGTGGCTGTGTTATGCTGTGGGTGGCATTTTTCTTGCATGGTTTGGGTCCACTTGAGGGAAGGGTCACAAACGTATCAGTACAAATCAATATATCAGTACAAAGTTATTCCGACTGATCACCTTTATCCTATGATTAAATATTTCTTCCCTGAGAGGAGTGCTCTCTTCCAGGATGACAATGCACCCATTTACACGGCACAAGATGTCACTAAAAGGTTTGATAAGTGTGAAAATTATATAAATCATATGCTTTGGCCTTTGCAGTCACGAGATTTCAACCCAGTTGAACACCTATGGGAGATGGACTGACCTTAGACCATGTAGATCATTGTCCTGCACTCAAGGCCTAACTGAGCTAAGATGAGAACAGCTGAGATGTAATTTACAAAGACAAGGAAAAACATCACAGCAAATGTAAAAATCTAAACTTAATCATCGAAGACAGTGGCTCCCAAATAAGTCCTCAGCTTTTGTGGTTAAAAGGTATTGTAAGTAGCAAAATTGCAGGACACTGATGACAATGACATTTTTTAATTGTTTTAGGCTTTGAATGGGTAGAAAATGATATACTCCATCAAACACAGGATCTCACCTTTACAGCTCCCACAGGTACATCTTTTGACCACATTTGGAGCCTCAGTTTCTAACACTGGTGAGCATATAGCCAACAGAAGGCTTGAGGCAATGTTGGAAAGTAACTGTTGCTAAGCTAAGAAAATAAGCTGGAGCTTGTCTGAGAACATAATGATTTTGATTGATCATAATACTATGACAGATTTCTTTATGTTTAAAAATGTAGCTTAATAAATACTCTCTCACCTATTGGGGAGGCCTGTGAGCAATGCAGGCATTCCCAGGCCTACACATGACAACATGCCAGCCATGTACTGTCAAATACAGTTTTTCTCAGTAATGTAACACAGTAATGTAACACAGTATTCCTTCCTTCTGTTTTCTTTAAACAGAAGGAAGGATCCTCATAGCAAGGATGTTACCAAAGGGAATCATTAAAAGGACAGAAACTGAGAAATCATGTGTATCATATGCATGTATACTCAATTATTTTAATATTCATTGTATGGACATTTCTTTTAGCCTCTTTGCTAATTTTTAACTATATTGATTTTAAAATTATCAAAATGTCAATCTAAACGTATGGTGCATTAATGAGTATAACTGACATGATGTTACTGTTAAATTAACTTACTTAAACCAATTTTCAAAGATTAAGTGAATAAAACAAAGAACTAATTAACTAACTAAATAACTAACTAAATAAATCTATAAAAGAAACACAGAAAGAAAGAAAGAAAGAAAGAAAGGAAGGACGGGAGGAAGAAAAAAATAGTAAATTGGATTGTGTGTGGAAAATAAGTAGTGGATAAGCAATATTTTCAAAACTCTGCTTAACTGTCGTCAATTGGCCAAAAGTAGCCTCTTACTATCTGGATGGCAATTATAATAATAATTTAAACAAAATCATACATTTATTTTTACTTCATTGGACAGTTAAACAGTTTATCAAACAGTTTTGAATATGCATTTACACATAAGGTCAGTCAGAGAGAGACAGAGAGAGAGAGAGAGAGAGAACCAACACAGGCTGCGTTCTGAGATTAACAGACATCTGCAAGGTGAGAGCTCAAGAGGCAGCATAACCCTTTTTAAAATGAGTATGCCTCCAAAATAGCGAAATCGGTTGACACCTAGGCTAGATTTTTTTCTTTATTTTGTTACCCATTTGTCTATATTGGAAACCGTTAAGCAAATTCCCATTAGAAAGCAAAACCGTTAGGTTTAAATTCTAATGGTTTCTAATGGTACGTTTTCAGCAGGGTAACATTTCACAACACTTTCCACCTGCCGTCCACTGCGCTTACTGCACTCCAAAGGTATCTCAGATCTGTATGAACGTCATCATGACACACCTCTAAATGTAGACACCAAGGCAGACATACACGCGGAATTTAATCAGTTTCAGCACTTCTGAAACCGCCGGCCTGCTTTACTTCCCTCATCAGGTACATCTCCGAGTTTCAGTCTCTGACGTCACAGTCAGGGATAGGCTGGTCACGTGGTGTGAATTTCCAGACCGCTGGCTTCAGGAGAAAAAAATGAACAGAGGCGTAGCCAAACAGTTTGACTTGAGAAAGGAAAGGTAGGACTGCATAAACACATTTAAGTCGCCTTTTCCACGTTCACGTCGTATTTTAAGCAAACGAACCGCTTTAAGCCAGGATTTCTATCAAAGTTTTACCTGTTTATCTGCTCTGAAAGTGACCGGAATGATAAGTTTCGGCTAAGTCGATACAGTGCTGCTACCCGTAGTAATTTGTTTAACGTAACGTGCCTTGCATGCTGGCTTTGGCTGTCTCCCGCTTTTTCTTTCTGTTGACAGACGATAGTAAAGGGCTTTACTTTTTGTTTTGAAGTAAAGATACTCCTGGACTCTTGTATAGTTACACTCTAAATGTTTCAAATGTTGTTTACATTCTTCATGGAACTGTTAGTCATGTCATACGTTGTGTGTGTGTGTGTGTGTGTGTATGTGTGTGTGTGTGTGTGTGTGTATGTTTGGGGGGAAGTCACTTGCTTTACAAACACAAAATGTTCACATGCAGTTACATTTTTCATTGTGAATTCTGTGTTTTTTCATAGGTTTCAAGGTGGGTCTCTTATTAAGTGACGTTATTCCCAGTTTAGGCAAAAAGTTTATAGCCTTTTTGTTCCCTCAGGTCACTGCGTTAATGAATGGCCAGGCAAGGTATGCCCAATGAACTGCAAGCCAATGTAAGTCTTGCTGAGTGACTGCGTGTGAAAGAGGTATTCTGCAAAATGCTGTTTTTTTTCTGGAAATAATTCTGTTTGTTTTATTTTACCAGGCAAATTCTGCTTAACTAAGGAAAAAGAGGTCAATGACCTCTGTCTTTAAGCTCTTGCCACTGAAACAGCTAAACCAAAGACGTCCTCAGATCTGACATAACTTGTATGGGCTTGTTCTATTCGCTGTCTTGGCAGATAAACATTTTTCTAGATTCTGTCTGCCTAGAAGAACTTTGGGTTGTGGCATTTTTCTCTGCAGGCTTGGAATCAACAGCCGTTTTCTCTGTGAGAGACCTGTGGGGTTTGGTTACAGTAGTATCAAAGATCTGTTCATGTTACAGACCTTGACAGCCTGTCCTGGAGAGCAACTGTGTCTGGTATAGGCCTATTGTCTTACAGCTGGTCCTCAGAGCCCATTCCTTTACATTCATCACATTCTGTATAGATTAACTTAAAAATATATGGGGTTTATTTTATTTGGTGTGTTTTTTTTTCTAACTAGATTCTCTTATGCTGCCTTCATGTGGTGTCAGAACATTTGAAATATTATGAGCTTCTGACTGGGGAAGTCCAGATAAATACAAACATGAAGTACCTTTGCAAAATGATTTTTAACTTCCTATCAGTTAAACACTCTGAACAAATGATCATGGTTTGGCAAGTGGAAAATAGAAGCTCCTGAGGAACCTGTGAAGGCAGTATTAGACTCCATCGCTTTCAAAACATCCTGGTGTCATGGGCTGGACTTATTGCTAACTAATCCAATGATCTCTTCCATGGTGAACTTTGGTTTCGCATTATGTCTCTGCTTGCTTCCTTATGGTGTCTAAAGCTTGTTGACTGTCTATTTTTACCAAGGCTTTAGAAATGAGGAAAAATAATGTAGTAACACAACACAGTACAATATTGACACTTTTGTACATTCTCACAGGGCTTAAAATATGTACTGATTAGCACTGCACCTGTGCTATTTTCTAAAATGGTTTAAAAAGGCAAATATTTTCCCTGTTGTAAAAGTAATGAGGTCTATTGTGTGATTTTATTCCGATTTCACGTCTGTCCAGGGCAAACTCTATTCCCCATGTCCTCTGGAAGGGGCTCTCCCGGGCGCTTTGAGCGTGTCGGAAACGCAGACTACTATGATGAAGTGCCTCCAGGCTCCTTACACAGGAGTGAGGGCCTCAATGGTTTAAGGCGTCAGGGGTCATCGGACCTGGCTCTGAGCTCAGACCCTCTTCCACCTCCTCCTCTGCCAGACCAGCCTCCTATCGGGCCTGAGTTTGACCCCAGCGAGAGCGAAGACAACGAGGAACCAGCCGTTGACATCAAACCTGTCCATCGGTTCATCCCAGACTCCTGGAAGAACTTCTTTCGTGGAAGCAACAGGAGCAGCAAGAGTTCAATGCCTGCATCCAATAATTACAACACTACCACTGAGGGTGTCCGGTGCTCTCCTCCTCACTCGCCCTCAGTCCCAGGCTCATACCGAGATCAGTACGGGGGCTCTGGTGGCAGCTATAACTCTCGCAAGGAACGAGAGGCTATGCTATTAGGAGACCATATGGACTCAGTAGATGGTCGCACTGCACACACTGCTATGACCTATAGTGAGAGAGTTGAGGAATACCACCAGCGTTACGCCTACATGAAGTCTTGGGCAGGACTCCTGAGGATTCTTGGTTGCGTCGAGCTGCTGTTAGGGGCAGCAGTTTTTGCCTGTGTGTGTGCATACATTCACAAAGACAATGAGTGGTATAACATGTTCGGATACTCGCAGCCACAGATGTATGGTGGATATAGTGGTGGTTATGGTGGAGGCTATGGAGACACTTATTATACTGGACCAAAGACACCATTTGTTCTTGTTGTGGCTGGTCTGGCATGGATAGTGACTGTTATCATGCTAGTTCTAGGCATGACCATGTACTATCGTGCAATCCTTTTAGACTCAAGTTGGTGGCCTCTAACTGAATTTACAATCAACCTAGTTCTTGCTGTACTTTATATGGCCGCTGGCATTGTGTATGTAAGAGACACAACACGTGGTGGACTTTGTTATTACCCTGTCTTCAATAACGGCATCAATGCAGCTTTCTGTCGCACTGAGGCAGGGCAGACAGCAGCTATCATTTTCCTTTTTGTGGCCATGCTGGTATACCTGATAGGAGCTATTGTGTGCCTAAAGCTGTGGAGGCACGAGGCTGCACGGCGCTACAGAGAGAAATATGGCCATGAGGTAAGGCTGACTTGCTCAAGTGCTTCTAAGCTGCTGGTTTAGTGGATCTGTGTTGGACATCATCAGTTATCTTTATTTATTTCATACTGAATTTCTTTTTTAGTTCATGGATGATTCCTGATAGAAAGTACTTTCCTGCCTTTACATTTATTGTGTGTAGTTTAAGGCACTTTCACAAAAATATCAAATTTCCGAGTACATTCATCGGAGGAAATGAGTAAAATTGATTCAACATGCTGAAAAGTTTAAGCTTAAAATATTTAAAATTGATAAGTTGTTGATATTATATTTTTATTATATTCACGTCTGTTTGTTTTTTTTCTGCTCAGATGCAGCCATCAGACTTGCCAGTGATTCAGTCTTCGGTAACCAGTGCATTGCCATCTTTTTTTCAAATAATGTGTATTTATCGTCTTGTTCCTCATTTGTCACATTCAGATTGTCACTTTTTTCTCTTCTCTTGCAGACAGTGGCTGGACTGAGGATTCCTGAGCCAGCTGTCATCTCCTCTGCAGCACCAGCTGAGAATGCACATTCAGCAGGCCCCACATCTTCCAAGCCCAAGCTGGTTAAAGGGCCTATTCCATCCGGATACATTCCCAAACCTGTGATTGTGCCAGACTACCTATCGTGAGTACTCTTTTTCTGAGGTTATTGAAGGTAGGGCTGGACAATATGACAATATTTGTCATTATCATGATAAATTACATCACAACAAGTCTCAACTTTTCTGTGCATATCGTGGATGTTGTCAGTACTTAAAGAACATTAACCAGCTGTATATTTAGTTACAAAGTGAGCATAACTAGTTCTGTTGAACTGGATTTAGTACAGCACAGGTTGTGAAATGTTGAACAAAATCATTTGTGCTGAAATTTTTTTTTAAGGATGGTTCTTTTTGCTTATACCAACATATCAGATGTCACGTGTATTAATTTTATTGTTTTTGTTTGTTTTTTTTCCACTTGTAGTAAATACCCAGCCATTCGAACAGATGAAGAGCGGGACCAGTATAAAGCTGTTTTTAATGATCAGTACTCTGAATATAAAGAACTGCATGCAGAAGTTAGTGCAGCGCTGAAAAAGTTTGATGAAATGGATAGCATGATGCGCCAGTTGCCTCAACATCCCTCTAATCAGATGGTCTGTAATTCTTTTCACTGATGCTAACGTTGCATACTGTTGAATTTACTTACGTTGTCTAATTTTTCCACACAGCTAGGTTGGAATCCAAACTGTGCAAAATGATTACATATGCTACAAACATTAACAATTACTTGTATGCCTAGTAATTTCAAGGTTACACTTTTTTGAGAAATGTAAGGGAAAAGTAATTTCACCCAGCAGTATTCATTCATGTGTTTTAATGAAAAAGTATGTACGAAGTACAAACTTCAAATACTTAATTTACAGCCTATGTTTTCTCAGCCTGACCTGAACTGTTTTAACATATTTTTTTCTTTGTTCCCTTAGGAAACTGGCCGCATAAACCGTATACTTCAGGATTACCAGCGGAAGAAAAACGTACGTTTTAAAATTTTATTAAGGCTACATAATTTGTTTATGTATGCTCATTTTTTTGTGCCTACTTTTGCAAAGTTGGACAAGCTTTTTTAGAACATTGACAAAAATCCCATTCAACCTAATGAGAAAATGCAGCACACTCCACACATCACTACAGAATTTATTTAGAGTTGCTATAGTTACTTGGGTTTCCAATTTAAAATTCTATAATTTTATGCCACAAGCTGGACTGTGTCATTGTAGCTCAGTGGTTCTCAGTCCTGGTACTGGAGTACTGTTGTCCTGCAGTTTCCCATGCTCAACACACCTGATGCAACTATTGAACTAAATAACAAGCTCTTCCTGATGTGTATTAGGGCAGGGAAAACACCACAACATAAAGGGCGGTGGTACTCCAGGACCAGGATTGAGAACCACTGTTGTAGCTTATTGAAACTCAACAGGTTGAATATGATGACAATGAATTTGCCACCATCAGCGTTAAAATTACTGGGGAGCTGGGTGAACTAAGATACTTGAGCTCCCTTAAAAACAGTAAAATATGAAGTTTAGGAGCTTGCGGACACTGATTTATTAACCATTCCATTATTTACAACAATGTATTTCTACTCTTGCAATGGTTCATGTAATCCAACTCCAAAGAGTCCATCTTTTCTGCATATTTTTGTTCAGGTTCTTCTCCACCAACACACAAGTGTTGCGTTTCCAAGTTGAACATAGAATAATGGCAAGCGCTATTTGAAGTTCTCCTGCGAGGGCTCCTTGGTTTCTGTCCTCTGGTTTAATCTGTGTAGAGAAAGGAAAATATTTTTTTTCTCATGCTTGTGTTTATATGGGTGTGATAGTTGGTACATGCTGTACTGTTTATTATTGCTCAGTGGTCATATTGTTAAGCTTTGGTTGTTGCCTCTGAATTCAGTTTTGGAACAAATACGTGTGTATGTGTGGGGCTTTGAGTTCACATATTTATATTGTAAGCACATGTTGGTCAGTTCACAATTGCAGCGTCCAGGAGCCATAATGTAGAGCTCAACTGATATAGGATTTTTAAGACCAGTGCCAGTTTTGAAGATTTAAATATCTGATCTATTTAATATATCAGTCTTCATTTAGGCAGAACAAGTTAAATGCTATAGTTTAACCACTCATTAATGTTAGTTGTTTTCCATTAATAAACATAGCATTAGCTAGCTTTGTAGGTGACCTAATTTAGCAGTGAACAGTGTTATAAGCTGCTGTAAGCGATATTGTCAGAGAAGTGATTATAGGGAGAAAAGATAGAACCATTACTTGTTTACTCGCTAGAACTGACACACTAACAACATTTACATTCATCCTGATAATCCGTTAATGATCCAAATCGTGTCTCAGTCAGAAAAGAATATGTATATGTATGCACCCCAATCAGAATACACTTGTCTGATTGAGACCATTCTGAATACAATTTCTGTTCAATCAGACCAAACAGGTAATCCTGTAAATAATTAAAAATAAACATACATTAATAATAAACACCTGTATCTGATTATATTCCCAAACGGAAAGTTTAAGTGTATTCTGCATGTGTGCATTTGCGTCATAACGGAAATTTATAACATTCAACATGGCAGGAGCCTGGAACTGATCTGCAGAGGATGCAAAGATTATGCTTCAAACTTTAAAGGACTCGAAAATAGTTAGCAGGATGGATTATCAGTCTACTAAGAATCATGTCTCTGTTGTGGAGTACTCTGCTGATTGCTGCGATTTGTGTCACTCCAAACGTGAGTTGTCAACAGGGAAGTTGCAGGTGGACAAACTATGCAATGACAACACTCATAACATGGTTGAAGGATCTGTCTTTTATCTCTGTACTTCTTCATTAATAGAAATTTGTCGGCCGTTATGTATGCCAGTACTGATTTATCTGCAATTAACTCATATCGGTGGTTAATATCCACATGCCAATTTATTGATTGGGCTCTACTGTTTTGTAGCCTAATGCAAGTAACTGATTTATGTATTATGGTTGTGGGGTAATCTCATATAATACCCTGTTGTATTTGTTGATCTCAGAAGGAAGTGTTTGTTTAGGTGTGAGATGAGCTGGCCAGATTATGTTGTTAATGCTGTTGCTACACCTATGGTACTGTGCAAAAGTTTTAGCTACCTGAGGAAAATTAGAATTGCAAAGCTGTTTATCGGGGCAGTAAGGGTCAGTTTGCTCAGAAACACTAATATTTGAATAAATATAAATAAACCAAATACCCGAAACAGTAGTGATCTTATGTTTGTCTATGAGTTTGTTTAATCATTTCCCGACCTCTCCCCATGGCAGCCCAGTGTTATTTATACTTATCATCCAATACCTGATTTGGGTAATCAGTTCTTCATTGTGTTAAATCAACTGTGCTGGTGATAAAACTTAATAAACACATACAATGGCTGGGTGTTCATTAGAAATCTGGAACCAAAGTTTGTTCTTCAACCTAGCTTACAAGATACCAACTACTTTTTTGTATAAATAATAATTTAAAGATATAATTTTGTATTTTTTTTACTGTGTTTGTTTATTTGCATCTGCACTAATTATATATAATGCTTTTTACCTGCAAAAAAACACTAATTGTCAAAATAAATGGTTGTAAACAATGTGTGCAGTTGCAGGACTTGCAAAGTACTGTATACCAAAATGTTATAGCGTAATTAGGCATGAGTCATTGTGCTAAATAGCCAGTTTCCTCTTACTTTGATGTAGCACTTGATTTGGTTCATGTTATTTAAACAGGCAAATTTAAAATGCCAGTTTGGCTCATTATAGAGCAAATCGTGTTATTTATATTGCAGCTTTGGAATCTGTCATGAACATTCATGATTGTTGCATCCCTGTCAGTAACATATGTGACTAAACAGCTTTTTTTTAGTACTTATGCGTACCATCATAAGTACCACACACTCAATATGTTTGCCAGGGCTAAAACTTGAAAGCAGTACCAAAATTTGGACCCTGTTCAACCCTAACTGTACTATACATTTTTTACGTACTCTCTAATACCCACAACAATAATGTGTGGGGGTACATTAAAAGAGACAAAATCTGGGTAACGTCTTATGTCACACTTTTCTTGGGGGGAATTATCCCAGCAGTTTATAAAGCTTGTCCTGTTTTTTGGTTTGCTTGTTTTTTGTTTTCCAATTTTCTGGTAATATTTGTTCCATTGTCAAGGTCTTATCAAATTTAGGGAAATTGCCAAGTTTATTACCAAGTTTACACATTCAGTTTCAATTACCGTGACATAGGTTAATCTCCTTATGAAAGGTTTTAAATTACCCAGGATGCACTGGTTTACAATATAGTGGTAGATCCCCTGGTATTTTTTGCCTCTTGAATGAGTGCTTTGTGTTGCATAACTGTCTGAATGACCGGAGGAGGAAGGGTGGAATGATAGGAAAAGGGGCTGGCCCACTTTGCTTCCACAAAGGAAATGGCAATACTTACTCAGGCCTTCTTCGCCTTTAGTCCCCTTACACTGCATTATGTACCCTGGGTTTCTGTTATTCGGGCCAAATATTCAGAGCACCGAATCTTAGCATCAAGTTTTATTACAGACATAATAGATTGTTGTTTTTTTTTCCTTACAGGATCCTACATTTCTGGAGAAGAAGGAGAGATGTGATTACCTGAAAAGCAAACTTGCTCACATCAAGCATCGAATTCAAGAGTATGACAAGGTTATGACATGGAATGATGGCTATGGTTGAAATAACTCTTGAGCTGAACACAGTGCATGCTGCAGTAGTCCTTTATTTTCATTTCTGTCTGGAACATCTCATTATACTGTGTGTGCAGCTACAAAGATGTCAGATGATGTGCGTCAAAGACTTTAGAGAAGGGAAGCATGACCAATAATTTTACAAATTTATCCCAATATGCACAAGATTGGGGTACTGACAAAAATAGAATGGTTTCCTTTTCAATCCTGTAATGGAATATTGATGACTAAACTGATCATGCTGCCTGTTTTTATGTTAATTTAATGCTATGGTTGATTATGTTCAACTTATGCACTTGCGTGCAGCTACTGTTAATTTTCTTGTGTTGTTCATTTTTAAAACCACTTTTAAAACTGTGATTTTCCATCATGTATTTCATTGCTTCATCCCAGAAATATGTTGTGCTTAGGTTAGCAATGACAACTAAGCTGCACTTTGATTAAAACTGTAAGATTGGACATTGTCCTCATATTTTCAATTGTCTCATTTTAATATGGTATGTAGACAGAGGGAGTATTTTCTTTTACTGAAAAGAAATGGCTCTCCCCAAATTCTTCTTGTTTAAAAAAAAAAATCTGCTAAGCAAACTTAAATGTGTGGACAGTGTCAAGTGTTTTCTCATGTGTTTATTAATTAAATAAATCCTACTTGTGCATTTGTTTGCATGTAGAAATGTATTTTAAGTGTAACATGAGTTATACGAACCCCACTGTTTGAAGATAAAGCTGCTCTTTGCATCTTGTTAGCTTTCCTTTTCAGAGATGCTAGATTTTGTTACAACAGTGACCATATATAGTAACATTGCACATAGTCTGCAACAGAGTCTTCAAATCTGGACCTTGAGTTCCTGTTCGTGGATATTGTATCACTGGTAGGTATGACACTAAATGGCCTTACGTCAACAGTTAACCAATAAATATGAAATCCACAGCCTGAAACTAGATTCAAGGTCTGGATTTAAAGAGCTTTAGTTTACAGTCATACATTCAAACCACTTATGCAAAATTGATGGCTAATTGCATAATAGTCTAGTGGTCTAAAAAGGAACTGATGAACCAAAAAATGACCTTGCCTGAAATAGCGTACACACACACTGTTTTGTGATGTTGGTAGATGTGCATTTCTTCATTTGGGGTAGTAGAGTGTTTGAGGGGGTTTAGCATGATGACCTAGTTTAATATGTTCATTTAAACCCATTTGTGCTCATATTGGATATTTTGAACTTTTACTTCAAATGTTCTTAGGGCTTTATTGAGCACAAATCTGAAAACAATTGAAATGGGTCTGGCTGCTTTGGCAACAGTGTCCAATTTTGCATTTTCACATGAAAACTAGAAGGAATTTTGGTACCACCTTGTTTGGAACAAGTGAAATTACAATAAAATAAGAGTAAATTGTGGATATATGTGATATTTTGAACTGAGAAATTATTGTAAGTTATTTTTGCAATTTTCTTGTCTTTCAAAAATGATATGAAACATGTAGGTCATGAAAAATTTTCAATGGTGGAATCTGGCTGATTTCTTTACTGTCTTTTCAAGTTTTGGGAAATAAATACGTAAAGAGTACAATAGCTTATTTTAGAACTTGGTAGTTTTAAGGAAGAAAAATCGGATCGTATAGTTATCAGACAAGAAAAAGTAGTATCGTGCCATCACTAGAACATGTACTTTTTTATACTGCAGACCAAAGTATATGACTTCAAATATACTTTTACTCTTTTACTTAAAAGATGTAAAAATGTTTTTCATTATATCCGCTTTACTCGAAGTGCCGATTTCAGACCCATATTCCGACAAGCCCTCTGTGATTGGCTGGTAGCTCTGAGGTGCACGAGCTACAATGAACTACTAACCAATCCTAGTGCAGGAGTGCGGGAAACACTAGCCAATGCCAGAGCGCTAACCCAGGAGGCGGGGCTTGTCGGAATACGGGTGGAGAATAAACAATACTTTGGGTGGGGAGCTGAACACAGGCGGGTTCGGAGGCTGACGCTGACATCTTGATTTGTGGGCGGGGCCAGTTTGGGCGTCGCAACGCTTAAACCACCTGAGGAAGAATATGTAGACCACAGAGCGCGGAACATAGTGACAGGAAGGAGTGAACTCTCCGTCCAAAGAGGTGAGTTTCTTTTAGTTTACATAATAACATCACTTTTAGATGACTCACAATAAGTTACAGGTTTAGAACACGTACATTTATCTTGATGATTTGTTACTTTGCCGTCGAGTCTAAAGGATGTAGTGGCTTTAGGCTTCACAGAACACGAGACTCAAATCACACAATTTAATCAGTTTTTAGTTACAGGGCAAGCTTAAGTTTCACAAAACACATTTCCGTTAAGATGTGAAAACTAGATAATGATGGTGTAAATTCCAGTGTATCTGCGATACTATATCAATTAATAAAGAAAAAAATTCCCTTCCCTTCGTTTTCTCCTCCCTTTGTTTTTCTGCTGTAGAAATCAAGAATGTCTTCCAAGCCGAATGGAAGCCCACCTCCCTATGAGTCCGAAAATGAATAGTAAGTCATTGTAGCCCTGTGTTTTGCTGCTGTTAATTGCATTGCTATTTGTAATGTTTTTTTTGTTGTTGTTGCTTTTGTATAGTCTGCATATTGTGTCCTATCAAACTTATTGCAATGTAAGTGGTCTCACTAAGCCTAGATCACACAATACCTACTTTTAAATAAGTTCAAAACATTCTTCCAATTTGTGTTGACCTTACTTTGAGTTTATTGGTCTTAAGGCAGATTTTGAAGTTGCTCACTTCTTACCAAAACAATTATTTGAAAATGTCTTTTTGAAATGTCTCACAGTAATGTGGTACCCCAACCTGCACACTCCTATTACGCTGACGATGAGTTACAGCACTTCTACCGCTGGACCTCCCCACCAGGTGTCATCAAGATTATGGCGGTCATCTGCATTGTGGTCTGTGTGGGTATTTTTGCCTGTGTGGCCTCCACTTTAGCCTGGGACACTGCTGGAGGGGTGACTGGGTTTTCGGGTGGCTACGGAGGAACATATGGAGGAACCTATGGTGGAGGCTTTGGAAGCTTTGGTGGAGGTTACGGTACCGGCTTCGGCTATGGCGTATTGGGCTCACAGAATGACCCCAGGAAGGCAAAGGGCTTTATGATTGCAATGGCTATCATCACCTTCGCTGTTCTTCTGGCCATGTTCATCATACTGATCTCCCATCGGGCACGCACCAGAAAGTTCTACCTGATCCTCATTATCGTCTCTGCCATCCTGGCCCTGTTCATGCTTATAGCCACAATAGTCTACTTGGTTGCGGTTAACCCAATGGCTCAAACCTCAGGCTCTATGCAATATAATCAGATAATAGCACTTTGTGGCCAGTACCAGGACCCTCAGATTTCAAGTCAACTGTTGGTCAACCAGTACCTGTATCACTACTGTGTGGTGGACCCTCAGGAGGTGAGCACTTTGCCCAGATGCACTTTCTTCTTCATGGTGACTCTCGAAACTATCATGGTGAATCATACAGTGCGCTCTCCCCAATGGCTTGTTTTAGAACTAGTTTATCATTTGGTAGCTTTTCATATTTATGGCAACATTAATTGGCACAATTTTTTTTTTTTTTCATTTGACTGCAATTTTATGGCAACATTTTGATCCATTTTCATGGTCTTAAAAATGTAGAAAAATAACCAAGTTTATGCTTACATATTCAGCTTTCATTTCACTTAAAGTCCCCATGAAAGTATCAGTACTTGAATTTGTGGCAAATGTAAAGAAATAAGGAAGTTTTTTATGCTTACACATTCAGTTTCAATTACCATAACATAGGAATGTATTACAATCAGCATATTCCAGTTATTTTCACCATTAATTGGAGAAATCATAATTTCACAAATAAGGCCAAACATAAAAATTGACTTTTAACCGAACAATAAGTCTTTCAGAAAATCCTTGGGGAGAAATGACGAACTTAAAATGTGTTATCATCAAACATATTTCCAGTTAATCATTGCAGATTTATTCACAAGGTAGATTTTAATCAATGATATTTTTTATTCGAGTTCAACCAAGGAATCATGACGGTCCTGCACTGAATGTCCCATGACCTCTCTCGCTTGTCCTTTACTCTTTCAGGCAGTGGCCATTGTTTTTGGGTTTCTGGTCACTGTGTGCCTCATCATCATCATGGTGTTTGCCATCAAGACCCGTCAGAAAATCAACTATTATGGGAAGGAGAATATTCTGTGGCGTCGAGAGAAATTTGTTGAAGATCCTAACCCTCCCCAAGATGTAGAGGATTGGGTATGTAGGTTTTTTGCCAGTCATCTATGGAGCTGCTCACAAAATCAGTCTTAATCTATTTGATCAGGTTTGGTTTTGATTTGTTGACTATTAGCCATTTAAAAAATATCTTCTACACACCTGATGGGTTTTAAGTGTTTGAAAACGCCATTAGCCTTTGCCTGTAGCTCTGATGGTGAAACAGCAGAGGAATGTTCTTGGATGATGTAGTGAGACCCAGTGGTATATCAGCAGGAACTAGGTTCATTTCCTGAATTGTTGAACCATGAGCCTTTCGAGTTCTGTTCTGAAGGCTGTAGCATGTGTTGAGTTGCTCGTTGATAACGTTGCAGGTGGAAAGACGAGTTTCTGTCTGCAGTGGCAAGTGGGGGAGGGGAAGTCACATACCTGGTTTCTGGGTGTGGTTTGTTGTGACAGTTTCACTCTGATGCTTTGTTGAAACAGTTTGAGCATACTGTGAAAAAATAGGAATATATTATTTTTTAAACCACTTGGACATCATCAAAGGGGCACTCTTGAGTATATAACTCTGGTTGCATTTTTTGATTGTATAGCTTTACATTTTTAGCTAGAAAATGCTATGAATGTATTTTGCAATGCTAATGTTTTATTAAAAACTATTTTTTTTTACCTAACTGAACATATATATGTTCTTTGTTTCATATGAGTTTCACCTGGTAATATTGCCTGTCTGTTTAGAGACAGACAGGTCAAACCAGTATCTGGAAACTATGTTAGGAAAATAGGCCAGAACTTCAGTATAGCACTGCTTTTACCAGTGCTTAGTGTCTGTCTCAGAAGATTCCTTTAAGATTCCCTTTTTCAGGGAAAAGGTTTAAAATAATAATTACTGAATTTTCTGATGTTTTTATATATATATATATATATATATATATATATATATACACACACACACATATACATATATATGTGTATATGTATATGTGTGTGTGTGTATATTATAGCTTATCTAGCTGCTTTTTGAGCAAGTGCAAAGCAGAAGACATGTTGTGACTTGCATCAATCCAAAGGCACAAAACTAGCACACACTAGTCTATGTATGTATGTATGTATGTATGTGTGTGTGTGTGTGTGTGTGTGTGTGTGTGTGTGTGTGTGTGAAAGTATGTATGCATGTCCACAGCAGCTTACAGAAGGCAGGTCATACTTTTTGCTGTTTTATAGTTTGCTTAAAGAATCACACTAAATATTGTTTACAAAAGATAGTGAAGAGGAAGGGATGGATACATAGATACATACTGACATACATAAATACATAAAACTAAACTCACAGTAAACTGAATATTCCCTATCTCTCTGTCTTACTGTCTTTTTCTCTTAGGTGAATAATGTTTCTGGTGCCCCAGAGCCTGCACTGACTGAGTATCCTGAGAAGTTTGGAGGCTCAAGGAACTACCTGGATGACAACAGTTCAATCTATGACAAACCTCCTGCCAGCCTTGTGTGAGTACAGCTCTCTTGTGACATGCAGACACATCCCCATTGTGCATGCATATGTGAGTCTGTGTGTTAACTGTGACTTTACATTAATAATGACATTCTTATTTACTTATCTCCTTAAATTAATTATCAGCTGCACCCAGTCAATACATTTTTTCAAATCTTCACTAGAATTCATTTGTAAATATCCTTTTTTGGAATTTTTTTTTTTCTCCCCAATTTTCTTCCCAATTTAGTCATGGCCATTTCCACCCACTTGATAGGTCTCCTGTCATACAATGCTATCAAGCTTCCTCCAAGCCAGCCACTGCATCTTTTCAAATGTCATTGGACAGATTATTGTGCTTGGAGGAGAATGCTAACTGCAAATTGTATTACGTCAGCTAACAGACATGTTGGCTTGTGTTGCGCTGGGTGATGGACAGCAGGAGGAACAGTCATCCTAGCCCCTCTGAGAGAGTGAGGCCAATAATGCTCTTTTGGACTCCCAGTCACAGGTGGCTGTGAAATTGCCAAGGACCATATTTGCGTTCTCCTGATTATTGGAGCAATGCGTAGACTGCTGCACAACATCTTCAGAAAATGTCTAGACCATTGATATCCTAATTTGACAATGGAATGGCCTAAAATTACTTTTATATGGACCACAGAAAATTAATAACTTTAAGTAAATTATTCTTCAAATACAGTGTGCATTTGCACCACATTTTTACTTTTTAATTTGTATTGTTTGTTGCTTATATGTTGCTCTTTTTTAAACTTAATTTAATTTATACTTAAAGTGAGTTGCCCTGTGCCAGAAGATTCTAGAAATTAGTAAATCCTTGAGGTAGATACAGAGCTATGGAGCATAGTTGATCACAATCATCAGTAAACAGTGAACTGTGGAATGCTATAGTAGAGAACCTGTGTTTTTGGCTGGTTTAGGGGAGTGGAGCATAATATTCCGGTGCAGAATTCGGCTCCCTACTACAGCAGCTCTGACGTGGCCAGTTCAGCAAGTCGGCCCAAGAAAAGACGCGCTGGACGCCCCCGTCGTTCGGATGGAAAGGACTATGACACGGACTATGCATCATCTGGAGACGAGCTGGATGATCAAGACTTCTCTAGGTAAGCTCATGCACCTGGCCTGCAACCCTTGAAATTTGACTGGAACATGTAGCTTGTTTGATGCCAGGGGATCCCATTTTTTAGTGCCGTAGTCCTCAGTTTTGGTCTTGGAGTGCCACTGTCCTGTACATTTTAGAGTACCTTTGATGCAACTAATCTGATTGACTGACTAACAAGACTTTTTTGAGATGAATTGAGTGTGTTAGAGCAAGGAAAACACCATAACATGCAGGGCACTGATGCTCCAGAACTAAAACTGAGAACCACTGTTCTAGTGTAGTGTTTCCTAATGTCCTAATCCTTGTCCTGGAGTACTGTAGCACTCCACATTTTGTTGTTTGCTGTAACACACCCATTTTATGCTTACAAAAGGGTTATGAGTTGATTGTGAGTTTATTTATTATATATTATTATATATTAGTGTGTGTTGTGTACCAGTGAATCAGACACAGCAGTGCTGCTGGAATTTTAAACACTGTGTCGACTCACTGTCCAGTCTGTTAAACACACTTATTTTGTTGGTACACCTTGTAGATGTAAAGTCAGAGACAATAGCTCAGCTGTTGGTCATCCTCTAGTCCTTCAGCAGTGGTCACAGGATGCTGCCTGCAGGACATTACTAGCTGGATATTTTTGTTTGGAAGACTATTCTCAGTCCAACAGTGACACTTGGGTGTTTAAAAACTCCAGCAGTACTGCTATGTCTGATCCACTCATACCATTGTGACACACACCAACATGGTGCCACCACCATGTCAGCATCATTGCAGTGCTGAGAATGGTTCACCACCCAAATAATACCTGCTCAGTGGTGGTCCTGACCATTGAAGAACAGGGTAAAAGTGGGCTGGGCTAAAAAGTATGCAGAATAACATACTAAAGTCTAGTATGGACTACAGTCTGTAATTGTAGAGCTACAAAGTGCACCTATATAGTAAGTGGAGCTGATAAAATGGACAGTGAATGTGGAAACTAGGCGGTGGTTTTAAAGTTAAGGCTACCTAGTCTATAAATTAAGGTTTTTTGTTTATTTTTTGGCACCAAGACAACCCACACATTCACTTTTTCTGGCTTGTAAATACACATAGGTGTTTGGTTGCTTCTGAGTGGTCTCATCTACAGGCGCTTCAGCGCTTCACCAACTCTGTGTTATTAGGTTAAATTTCCTTTAGACAACGTTGTTAATAACTTAAGCTCCATTTAAAATTGCGATTTGAAAATTGCACTCTTTTAAATTCAAATTTGGAATAAAAACGATTGATCTTTCAGCCCTAACCATTTCATTTTTTCCCTGTTCTAACTCACCACAGGAAGGGTTTGTTTTAGTTCAAAAATTGCATCAGGTGTGTTGGGAGTAGAGGAAAATGAGGGCACTGCATTTGATTTTTAGACATTGAATGCAGAATGTATTTTTAATGCATCAGTGACTTGACTGGTTTTATTCAAACTGACACACAGTTAAACTAATTGATCATGAAGAAATAGAGATCAAGTATGGTTCATTTTTATTACTCTGTGATGCATCTTACCTATGGTTCTCAGGCCTCAGCAATGCATAAGGATAAGCAAAAACATAGAGATTAACTGTCTGTATTTACTTGCAAACTAATAGGTCGGATCTAAATTATATTAAAAATATGTGAGAGACTTACTACTATGATAAGTTAGTGAAGGTAAAAATATAAAGTGGGTCATTTATTTAGCCCTAATAAAGGTAAGCATGAAAGTAACAAAGCAGTGTTCCTGACCATTTAAAGAACACCCAAGTAAATTAATTGGTGTGCTTTTGCCACTGCAGTATGAAATCAGCAGAATCAAATTAAAAAAGATAGAATGCCACAAAAATTCTTGTGTGGAATTTAGCAAACGAACTAGGTGTGAAAATGGCCTAAAATGTGGAAAATGTGATATTCCAAGAGCAGAATTGAAAACTACTGCCTAAAGGAATACTCTCTTAACCTAGCTTCTCTCTGCTGTGTCTGTGTCACATGGTTGATCATCGCTGATGATAATTTTGACATATTTGACAAATATTTTTTTTTCACATACAAACTTGTTTCCTTCCCCCTTTCACAGTGAATTTCCACCCATTTCCTATGATGAGGAGAGAGAGAACTATAAGCGCCAGTTTGATAGAGAGCACCAAGAGTACAAGAGCCTACAGGCAGAGATGGATGAGATTAACAAGCGGCTGGCTGAGGTGGATCATGAGCTGGATGAGCTCCAGGAAGGGTCTCCACAGTTCCGGGTAAGAAAGCAAGATTTTCTGGACTGTGTTTTTGTTTTTTTTTTGTTTTTTTTTCATTTATTTTGTTGAGCTGAGTCATGCGTGACATGAAACTCCTTTGTTTACCTGTACATATGTCTTTATCTGATTTGCCCCATGGAGGCTGTACTGGCTGTATAATTGCTCTCATTTTATCGTACCTGATGAACAGAGTCATGATAAATCTGCAAGAAATTGAAGTCTCTTATACTTTTTCACTGACCTGTCATTGTCCTGTAACAGGATGCCATGGATGAGTACAATGCGCTAAAGGACAAAAAGAAGGTAGGAGCAGTTTGAACGTTTCTCACAGTTTTGTGTAAAAGTGCAAAACTGTTTGAGAGCACTTGAAAAAGTGCTGACCCAGTCACTTGTTTTGCTGGAGGAAACCTTTCAAAGTTCTCAAAATTCATAGACAGAGAAGTCTTTCCTTAATAAATAATGCAACTGATGTAAAGAAAATTGTTTAAATACAGTGAGGGAAAATTAAGTATTCAGACACTTTTGTTTGTTATTTAATATACTTCCAGTGCTATATCCATTTCACATTCCACATATTTTTTGACTTTCTACTTATAAATATGAAAAATTCATAAGCGTTAAAAAGGATATGTAAAAAATGTAATTGGTTGGGGGGAAAAAGTATTCAGGGTATTTAAACGTCTTGTGTTCCCCAAGAGTACAGGTCCCTCTGATGGTCTCATAATATCAAAATCCTCCATCAGTTTTAAATGAGATTTAATTCAGGAGTTTGGTTAGGCCATGCAAGCAACTTTTAGAAACCAGGCTTGAGCTACTTGACTTTATGTTTGGAGTTGTCTTGTTGAAATGTCCATCTTCTTCCCACTCTTGGCTGAGACTAAATTCTCCTTTAATATCTCCCGGATCATTGCTCCAATCATCTTTCCTTTGATGACGTATGTTTGCGGAGAAGCAGCATCATAATCACAATGCTCCTAGCTTCATACTTCACTGTGCGTATGATCTTCTTGGGATCATATGCGCAACCCGTCCGACAAGCTGAATCACTGCCAGAGTTCTTTTTGTTTCGTCTGACTAGTTCTCATTTGTCCAAATGCTTGTGTGCAAATTTAATCTTTTTTTTTTTTGGATGCTTCTTTTTTAGCTGAGGAGTTTTGCGTTGTTCATATCTAGAAGTACAAAGTCAAAAGGCATTGTTTTTACATCTATATTGGATATATGCACTAGAAGAATATTAAACATCAAAAGCAAAAGTGTTTCTCCTCACTGTGTGAAATTATAGCGACATTATGTGACATGACCTGTAGACTAATTTACTTTTTTTTGATTTTTTTTTTTTGTTAATGTATCAAAAGAGTGCTGATTACCAGATGAAGAAGAGAAGATGCAAGTATCTCAAGGCCAAGCTAAACCACATCAAGAGGATGGTCAGTGATTATGATGCTCGTGCATGAGGGTCTGGAAAGCCAGGCCATGCTACATTCCAAAGGGACAAAGAGCGTTTGGATAGAGTAGTGTGGCCAAGATCTGGTGTGTTGGTGCAGCATTAGGGCTTGCTGTATGTGAGAGAGGCCATCTTCATTACTGGATATGGGTAAATCCAAGTAGATTTACTTATATTCCTGGTGCCTCGATCATATTTTGTTCTTTGTGCTTTTATTGTTTTTTTAAAGTGGTCAAAGCAGCTTTTGTCAGTATGGGACAAAGTTCACCTCTGAATTTTAGAGAACCATGTGTCTGTTGACATTAGCAACTCCAGTTTCTTATAATGTTACATGTTGTGGTTACAGGGGTTCTTTGAAGAGTATAGAATATTCTAGCTGTTCTAGATTTAAACCAATGCATCATTTTCATCTGTTAACTTATTTATTCGTAATTATATTCCTGTTTTCTGGTGAAACGGCAATGTGCTGTATTTTCACTTAATAGATTTTTTTTTGTTTGGGACTCAGGAAAATCATTTGGGTACAAACTGCTTTAAGTTCATAATGTTTAAGACTGTGAATGTTGTAATGTCATTGTTTTTCAGAATCCGTTTATATCTGTAAATATGCAAATCTTATGTCTTTTCTGAATTTCCTGATGAATGATTGATTTAAAATTTTTATTAGAAAAAATAAAATGTTTTTACAAAATTCATTTAAGGCTTTTCCCCAATTCTTTTATTTTGATGAATTCTGTGCTTTGCACATTGCAAATGTAAAAGACAAAAATGGCAAAATACCAGTTAAGATCAGTAGTTTTGTTACAAACAGTGCAATCTGAAATAAGCAAAAGAAAGTACCTACAGAGTTTTATGGAACATTTTGCACACAAGTAAACTCATGAACTCTCTTGCTGGATGGATGAATTTGTCCAGCTGGGGACTTGTACATACTGCGCTGATGATCAGGTTGACAGGCATACATTAAGGAATATATTTAGGCAGTTGGATCTAGTATTTTAGCATCTGGAGAAACTTCAGTTCAGGGCCTTAACCTAAATTTACATCGCTAGCATATGAGTTGCAGTTCATTGTTCTGACTGGATCTGAGCCATCAGATAAAGGGCAGATGTTTCAGCTTTAGGTTGGTTCTCAAGGTTTTTTTACTGTTCAGACAAGGGAATAACCTGACACAAATAACATGGAAAAAAATCTTATCTCGATGCTTATCAGCTGACATAACATAATAACCTGCGGGATTCTCCAGTTACGTCACATCAAAAGTTGTTCAGCACATTGCATAGTGGAGTCCAAAGGCACTTTTGGATTCCTTCACTTTTGTTACACACTACCATGAGTGTCATGAACTTTGCAGAATCAGCAGTGGTTCCGTGTCCTCAGTCAGGTGCTGTGGCTGTTGAGCCAGTCTGTGAGAAGTGGAACATTCTTCTCCATCCAGCGGATGTTCTCCTCTATGTTCTCCAGGGCCTGCTGGACACTGCGCAATCCTGCACCCATGCCCTGTTCCAGTGAACTAAAGAATAACTGTACCTGTAGAAACGAGGAACATACAATTTTTTTTTCCAAAAGCTAAAAAAAATCAATAATTTAACAAAAGATTTTTATTCCTTGTCCAAAATGTAGTTAATCAGCCAAAACATGACTGGTGTCTAAAATTTGCTTCTTTTATTTTGCACTGGATCTGAGCCTGATGTAGTTAACTAATACGTACAGAAAGCTTATAACTGCTGTTTAGCATTGTGCATACTTGCCTCAAGCCGTGCTGAGTTGTTAAGTAATCTCAAACAGACTTGGTTCAGGGGTTGCACTGTAGAAGTGTATCAAACTTAAAAATGAAAATGTAATATACAAAATGGCAATGTAATCCTGTTTGAATTTAAATTTTCAAATTGCAATTGTAAAAGGAAAACAGGGCCTCTCTTTGCAATTGCATATTCTCACCTACTGCGCTCATTCTGGGTCAAATTCTGGACAGATTTTTCTGATATAATAAGCGGCCACAAGTTGTCATTATTGTCTGTGTTAGCCAACCATAGGCTACAGATAGAGATGACTCCATCATTGAAGTTTATCATCTTATGTACACAGTGAGATTTGGAAATAGTGCTGTGTTTTAATTTATGTTACCAATGTAATGTACTCATAAATGATGTAGTTGTAACTGTGCTGTATCTACACAACCACCTTGTCACAGTGGCTGCTGTACCGTATCAGTACCGTGTTATATTTCAGCTGAATTCAGCAAGAGGGTCTCTAATATCCTGCTTTTTAGAAAATTAATATTACAAAATGGCTGGTATATGTGTATAACACAGTGAGCTGGATCATTTAGCCAGCTGGCAAAAACAGCAGACAGGAGCTTTGTTTGGGATTGTAGCATCAGCTAGCATTAACAATGGCTTTTAGCTAGCTTAATTTTGCAGCCCTCCACAATTCACGCAGTGCATTAGCATGTGAGGTGATGACAAAGCAATATATCAACCTCTGATGCTCACTTTGCAGAAGATATTCCTGCATGGCATTAACTGGAATCTCTATTTTCAGCCTCACTTTCAGCCACCGCTCTCAGTTGATGTAATGTGACTGAAGTTGCAGTGCTGGGCACCAGAATGCAACGGCTGCACTGTTTAAGGTGGACTAGAAAATTTGAAAAAGAAGCTGGCGGGAAGGAAGCCAATTCAGCCTTCTTTTTATCAACCAGATCAACACTTTCTCATGTATAAAGACATTAAGCATCACAAGTGGCTATATTTCTCTTCTTCACCGCATCTGCTAACATAAGAGTATAAGACTATAAACTCTTTGGCCACCATGTTTTCAGACAAAACCTTTTCCACTGAGTGTACCGTTGGCCCCGCCCTAATGGTATGACTGACATGTTGGGATATCTCTATAATTGAAAATGCAGTCTGGTCGAATGCATGTTCAAAAGCATTTTGACACAGAATGAGCGCAGTAGGTGAGAATATGTGACTGCAAAAAGTAGAGGCGCTGTTTTCCTTTTTCATTGGAATTTTGACATCTTTGTAGTTTGGTGTTCACATTGATAATGCAATTTCAAAAACATTATTAGAGAGTGCCAGTGCATATAAGTTAATTATCAATTTGAAACCGTTGTTGCATAATTACATAAGGCAAGAATATGTAGTTATATGTATGCAAATATTTGTCATTAACATGTTAAAAAATTTGAGCGTTCCAGGCTTTTCCATTTTTTTTCTGATTTTGTTAGTGGCTCGCTATTAGGGCACAGCTACAGCAAGACACAGACTGTCTCATGTAAACTGCACGCTAAAATCACAGCTCTGGCTATTCTCGCTTCCATAGACTCGTATGGAAACAAATGAGAAACAAACAGTTGTTTATCGAACTGATTCATGCATTCACTCTCATTTTTGAATTATGGTTGAAACCACAGATAGACAGACAAGATATCCTTGTACTTAATTTTATCTAATGGCAGTTTGTTTTTATTATGGCAATGATGGCGGTTTCTGACACTGTATGACATACCATTACGCATAAAAATGCACAAAAGCATCTAAAAACACAGCTAAAAACAGCTGAGGCAGCCATATTAAGGACTAAATTTTGTTCATATTTTTGTCCATTTTTATTAACAGCAATATGTCAAACTCTCTTGGCTGATTGGCCACATTTGATCTGTAGCTGTACATCTGTCCTCTGTCTACCTTTGACGAATTTTTTTTGCCAAACTACCACTTTAACTAAAACATAGGATAAATGGGGAACATCCCCTGGCAATACTTTTAAGCGCAAGACTGGTCTTAGTACTTGTTTAGTAAACCATAACTATGTAATTCACTGTTTTTAGAATGGTTTGCCTGATATCTGGAAATATGTGTACCTCCACGAGTTTTTCCCTGGTTGAGTACTGATTGGTCACCCCAACAACCATGCGTGAGATAGAGGAAGAACCAAGATCAAACCTACAAGAAAAACACAGCTCATTGTTTCACACTGCACTAATGAAGAAACACTAGCAAGAACCAGCCAAAAATATTTCACTGACAAGTGCCACTGACTACTGGATTTCTCACTAATGACTTTTAAAAAATGCATTTTTCAGTATCACAGGTGCAAAAGGACCGCAGTTGCCCAATTTCAGCATCCAGCAGCATATCACTGCATAACTGACCATTTTCTTAGCACTTCAATTACTGCTTATTTTGGACAAGCTCTCAGTCCTTTAGCAGGGTGCCAGCATTTTTGTGAATATATTTTAAGTATGAACCTCCAGATGTTGTCAAAAGATGTGTACGCGGGGCCTAAAATAGGCACCTGACACCTGGACTGAGAGTGTTGTTTTGACCATTTCCAAAGCCAAAACCATATAAAGAAGTTTTGGATTTGTCTGTGAGGCAGACTTCACCATCAGCTGAACACACTTACCTTAACCAGAGATACCTACATTTGTTCAAAGGTAAGTCTGATTAATTTTATTCTACGTCATGAAACAAACACTGTATAGCACAACTGTAAACTGGATTTCCATGCGGAAACTGATAAAATCTAAATGTTTAAATAAACAACACAAAAACAACTTTGATAAAAGACTCAGTTTTACTTAGTAAGTCAGGACAGTGTTGCTAACATATGGTGATGTTTTTGTTCAAAATGGCCTGTAGTCTGCACAAACTTACTTTTTTACCAGTTTCTGCCAGTTGGACCTCAGGAAGTCCCAGGCCAGTTTGTAGGCTTTTGGGTTTTTACTGACACTAATGACAAGAGATGGTAGCTCATGGGTCTTCAAGATGTCTCCCTCTAAACCCCTCTCTATCAGCCTTGATTCAGAGACAAGGACAAATACACAAGGTTCATACATTAGCGTCCAATTCAGAAAAGGGATTTGGTGGTGATGTTTTCATTCTGTCACAAGAACTGATTTAGACAAATTTGAACGAACCACTTTAGCTTGTCTGTCAGCGGGCTGTAGGACAGCGCTGCTTTGATTTGACTCTTCTCAGAAGGATACAAGGTTTGACGGTACTTTTCCAAGAGGAAGTCCCAGCCTTTCTCTGTCCGTGCCCCCTCAGTGTAAACCACCAAACGAACGTCAGCAGGCAACCTGGAGGATGGAAAAGAATTAGTCTCAGCCTCAGAAGCTCTACCCACAGAGCTACACAGACTGGCTAAAGAGGGACCAAGACCAGTATTCCTTGGCTATAGTGAGTCTTGGATGACAACCAGAATTCTGGCTTGTGAGACTAGAACACAGTGTAAAAAAAGCCAAGACCCAAGGGTGAAGAAAGTACGTGTCATTAGGGGTGAAACAGGACATCCTGACCTCATCTTGCCATCTGACTCCTTCCACTTCTGGAAGAGCTCCTGGGCAGTGCGGACGCAGGGTTCGTAGCGGCGTACACAGGCAAAAAGTAGCAAATAGTTGCGCAACATCCTCTCTGACACTGAGCCTTCATCACTCCATCTCTGGGCATCAATCAGTCTCTGGAACAGATTCACTAAGTAGCTCTGCAAACAGAGTTACACCGGGCACAGTTTAACAAATAACAGTCCTTAGTGTATTGTTAAAGAAATAATGAATGCTAAAATGCTACTAATGAATGAAAGCTAGTGGACTCAAATTAGCTTTCACTCACTGTTAGCTATGTTAGCTTTTTTGTATGATATGCAGGAATGAAAGAATCAGGTATTATATTACTGTTTAGTCATTTTCTATTTTCCTTAAAAGTGATTCAGAAACTATAAATGTTTCTGTATCATCAGGTTTTCTTGAACTACCCACCTTCAGCTGGTGCTCTAGTGCTGCCATATCTCTCTTCTCCATGAGTTTGTAGAGAGGCACCAGTTCACTGAAGCCCTGCATCACTGGCATGATCTCAGTCTCGTACCTCAGATACAGGCTCAGACTCAGGGCCTTGTTCAGAGGGACCTTTCCAATGCTGAGATAAATGAGACATCACATTTCTTAGTAGGAATGCATTGTCTGAGTACTTTTATACTGTATAAGCCACTTTAGTGCAAACCCTGTGTTCACACTGGGGAATGCAATCACAATACAAAAAAGTAAATACATTGAGTGACAGAAGAAACATATTCATCAGATTACAGGAACATTATAAAAATAATGTGGTAATAAGCAGGATTTCACTGAAACACTCAAAGTTATTTTCTTATTTGTGTTCATCTCTATGAACTACATTTGTCAAGGTAGTCGCCACAGCACAGAGGGAGAGAGGAGTCAGCTCTCTTTGGCTCTACTGATGGGAGGCCGAACACTGTGGCAAGGCAAGTGTTAAACTTGAAAATACAAAAGAAAAAAGTCTCACCACAAACAGTATGTTTACTTTAGCAACAATCTTAAGCTATAACTGACAGATGACAAGTGAAGCTGTTGTTACCACTGGGAATGATGCAGGTCTGTATTCTATTTTCAAATAAACATAAAGCGCCATATGTATTGTGTCTGTGCCTTTCTGTTTGTCTTGTGTTAGGAGGTCATCTTGCTTAAATTGTTTTTCTCTGGCATTTATTTAATTATAATTATAATAATATATTATAATACATGTAGTACAAAAGTAATGGGAAGTAAACTGATTATGTACTTTTGGTCTACGAATCCTTTAGATTATATATATATATATATATATAGAAGACCATTTACATACACAAAAAGCTATATAACTCCAAAGGAAAAGCAAAAACCAAAAAAGCATAATAGGTCCCCTTCATGTATCCATCAGATTGAGTTTCAATTTATACAATCAGTGTATTATGGAGTGTGGAATATTAAACACAGTTTGCAGTCAGATTGCCATTTGTCACAACTGCCAATGTTATTTACAAATAAAAAGGCCAGATTTTTTATTTTTTTTTTTTGAAAATTGTGGTTATGGAGGCTACACAGACACAATTCAATGAGGAGGTACTACATAGTAGGGCTGGGCGATACTGCAAAAAAGTAAAATCTCGATTATTTTTAAATTTATTGACGAATCTCGATTCCGATTTTTTTTTTTGGTTCTTGCATAATGCCATCGGAAAAAGACAATTTCTTTTTTGCACTTTAACAGACCGCAGAAGTGCAAAAATAGTAACAGCATCACCTATAATTATTAAATTGTGCAAATAGTGGTTACTTTTAAATATCCTTTCAAGGGACTCAAACTGTGCAAGCACAACAAAATTTGTAACAAAAAATATAATAATTAAAGCATAAAAGATTATGATTATAAATCATAAAAGATTAAGATTATCTTAATTAGTGATATTCGTTTAAGAATGGCAAGCAGCTTCCTTAAAGCTCACAAGCATTTCTCACTTTAAATAATGTGCAAGCATGACCTCCTTACATTAAGAAAAGTGCAAACCACAAGGTTCTTTACAGGTTTCTTGAAAGGAACACAAGCCTATCTACTGTTTCAGGCTTAAGAGACGCCATTTGAAAGGTAAAGGCCTCAGCAGACTTCTTACGGAGACTATGTCAATTGCTTAGAAAACAAACAACCGTAGACGTCGCGCGGAGGCTTCATTCGCCGTGTCACGCACGTGGCAGCTGAGCGAACTCGGTTGTATTTAGCCTCTGATTGGTCGGTAAAAAAAAGCCGTCTATGAAACAAAGATGGACAACTCTGTTAGGACTGTGAAAGAATCGTTTTCCAGCAGTCATGAAACTTATCATAAAATGTCACAGCGTCACGTGGAGCATCCGCGACAGGCAACACGAAACCGCAGAAAGTATGCGAGTTTATAAGCTCGCGAAGGGGTTTTCGGCTTCGCACAACCCTCGAGAAGTTCGTTTCGCAAGAAGTACTGAGGCCTTCACAATGTCGCACTGAAAACCCGCTCATTTCATCGCACTGTTTCACTCATTGCTCCCATTCCACTGGGTGTTTGTGTCCTAAGTGCTGGAACAGATTCGTCGTACTGCTACATTTGGTTGCAACTGTCTTTCGACACAACTTACACTTTACGTGAATTTGTTCAACATCTGACTTTTCAAATCGGTACCAGTTCCAAACCACTGAGCTGATGTTTCCACCTTTCTTTGGTACGAGCTCACTCCTCTGCTAAGCGCCGCCGCCTCCATCTTGGAGTGTTTGTGTGTGTTTTTTTCCTACCGCGCGCGGCTGAGGTCAGCGGACAGACCTGTGAGAGTTTTTTTTTTTATTTAAGATGCTTTTTTCGTTCGTCTTGAAAATTTGAATAGTTCTTTTTGGTATTTTAATTAAAGTACAAGCAATGTAAATATGTACAAACTCGTTCGTCACATTTCTAACATAGTGTGAAATCGTTAATTCGAATTAACCTAATTAATCGTGAAAATCGTCCAGCACTACTACATAGTAATTTGTCATTTCTGTTCACAATTTAAGACAATACTACCCTACAAAAAATATGCTACAGATAGTAAAGTATATAGCCCATAGTGTTCAGATTTAGACATAGGGATTCTCTTAAAATTAATTAATGGAAGAATTAATGGAAGATTTAATTTACATGTTCAATGCAGAGTCAGAATTGTGCACAGGCATTATTAATGCTGCTGAGGGGCATGCTCAGAGGCATGAAATTGTGCATAGGTCACATTTTCAAGCCAAATATGGAAAAGGCTCTCACCTGACCAGCTGGAAGATGTTGTGGATGAGACTGGCTCGGTCATTTCCGCTGAACACTGCGTGATTCCGCTGAAGCTGTCTGATCAAAGCATCCCAGCCCCCAGCCTCGTAATGGACAATATAATACCCTCGCATGTCCACGTTAAATTTAATCCACTCTACTTCCGCTGGCAGATATAACACATCTGGAAGTGACAGAGCTCAGCTTTAACAATGGAAAAGGAAGAGTTAAAGAAATAATTTTCTATGTTTCACTCCAGTTGGCACAGTACAAACCTTTTCTATTTTTTAGCAGAAAGCGCTGGACAGAGCTTGAGCTGCTGGTGATGTAGGTCAAAGGCACTTGCCAAAGGAAACTTGTTTAAGAGGTACAAGAAAATAAACATTATAATACTGTAGTTTCAGTAGAAAAAAAAAGTATACAATGTATTATTAACCTACCTTGAATTCTTTGCAGGATCTGCCCCTTTGAGGTACCTCTCCTGTTTCAGGTAGACCTCTCGACCTTTAACCTCCACACTAATGATGGGAAAACCCTCCTGCAGTGTCCAGGTATCCATGATAGCCTTCACGTTCAGGTCGTCGTCCATATACCATTTCTGTTAATACAGTTTTAATTCCATGGTAAGAATGAAAAGATTTTAATGAATAAAATCACCTACTAATTGAATAGTTATGACATTATGTGTTACAGATAGTCTTTTGCAGCCAAAAGAAGAAACATTATTTAATCAAACTTTATTTTGTGATGTCCTCTTCAAAGTACGTAAGAGTAACATACAGAGGCAGACATTCTGGACTTGCTGTCTGAACAGAATCCATCTGCTTTGAGTCTTCCAGAGTCTAAATCATCTGACTGACAGATCTGAAAAAAAGCCATATTATTAGTGGGATTATTATTGACTGATGGTTTATATACATGTAAAGAGGAACAACAGAGACTGGATGACACCCTGCTGAGTGCAATCAATGCATTCAAATCACTGAAAGCAACAATGTTTAATTACACCTACAGGTAATCAAATCCCAGATCCAAACACTTCAATTACGCATATTCATTTGGACTGTCAAGCCATGCAATTCAGATGAGAACGCACTACCAATCGGGCCTAATGAGCACATGCATGGGGCTTCAGCCAATAACTTAGAACTCAGTAACTTAGATTTGGATGAGGTCTCCTGAGGTTTGTGCCCAGAATTTTAGGATTATTAATCAGTCTCTGAATGCAGAACAACTTACGTTTGTCAGACTGTACCAGAGATCAGCATTTACAGTGTTCTGGTAGCTGTGATTCTTCAGGTAGCGTATAATACCCATCTTAAAGGCTTCTGGGCTCAGGAAATCTCTCAGCATGTTCAAAACACAGGCTCCCTTAAGAAGGTATGTAAATAAATATTATGATTATATTACAGTCAGGTCCATAAATATTAAGACCTTGACAAAATCTTTGTTATTTTAGCTGTCTACCATAGCACATTTGAGATTACATTAAAATTACATAATAAATATGAGCTCAAAGTGCAGACCTTCAGCTTTAATTTGAGGATATTTACATCTAAATCAGGAAAGTGGTGTAGGAATTACATATTTTATACACAGTCCTCCATTTTTAAGGGCTCAAAAGTAATTTGACAATTGACAGATAGGCTTTTTCATAACTCAGTGTGTGTTATTCCTTTATTACTTCACGTACAAGTGAACAGATAAAAGGTCTTAAGCTGATTTTAAGAGTTGCATTTGCATGTGTTATCTTTTGCTGTTAACTCTCAATATGAAGTTCAAAGAGCTGTCACTACCACTGAGGCAAGCCATCACAAGGCTGAAAAATCAAAACAAGCCCATCTAAGAGACAGCAAAATCAACTATTTAGTACATTGTTTAAAAATAAAGAATGCACTGGTGACCTCGGAAATGCCAAAAGGCCCAGGAGACCACAGAAGAAAACTGTGGTCAATGACAGAAGAATTCCTTGCCTTTTCTTCACAATTGTTGGCCAGATCAAGAACACTATCCAAGACATGAAATCAAAACTGTAGATAAAACGTCCCAAAAACAAGCACAAACTGAACACATCTACAGTAAAGGCCTAGCATCACATCAGAGTATCACCAGAGAATAAACTCAGCATGTGGTAATGTTTATGGGTTTGAGAGTTCAGGCAGTCATTGATTGCAAAGCATTTGAAGTAATAATAATGACAGTTAAAGATATTATTATGTTTGTTTGTCCAATTACTTTTTTGCCTCTAAAATAAGAGGGGCTGTGTATGAAAATGGTTGTAATTCCTACACCATTCACCTACACCAATTTGAATGTAAATGTACTTGAGCTCACGAGCATGATGTAATTTCCCCTTCAGTGTGCTGTGATAGATAGCAAAAATAATAACTTTTTCGACATCCAAATATGGTTGGCAATGCATATGAACAGAATATAAATGTATGTGATAAAAGAAATAGCACAAATGTTTATGGAAGAAGACAAGACAATTGCTTCTGTACCTTCTGATAGGACACATCATCAAACATTTCCCTAATTTGAGCCGGATTCTCCACAGGGGTAGAGATGGGATGGGATGAGCTCAAAGAATCCACCCCCATGGCTGTGAAACACTTCTCCAAGAAATAGTCATTCTAAAGCAGAAAAACAAGGATTTTTGTAAATAAATCAATAAAATCAATAAAAAGCCCATATCCTACATTTTTCTTGTATTTTTTTCCACTTTTATGGGAAATCTACCAAAAACCTAATTCAAATGAATTCATTTTAACATTATTATTTTTCACTTACGAATAAACAGGCTGGTTTTTTTTAGAGTCTTTAAGACTGATTTATGTAAATGACACCTGTTCTGAATGGCCCCGCAACCCAGCAGGATAAGCGGTTTTAGAAAATGTGTGTGTGTGTTCTAATTGGCTGCCCTGTATTGTGTAGAATTCAAAGAGCAGTACAGCCTGACACACTCCTTATAACTTCAATTTGAATGGGTGGAGCTAAACTGCTGTAGGCTAAAGGCAGTTGCACTTTTCATGAAAAACAAATCAACTAAAAATAAGCTGTTTCTGCATCCTAGTTTCCATATATGGCCTAGATAGCCTGGGGGTTGAATAGTACATTTTGAAACTTTCACAGAGTTTTCATACTATAGCAAACTCTTTTATTTTATAAAAGCAAAGAAAATTCAGTTTTCCATCATTCAAACTTTTAAAGTTTCTCAATGCAGTGATAAAAACCACTCAGCCTCACCACTTGTAGCTCGGGATAGGTAATATTCACAGAGACAAACTCCATGAACTTGGCAAAGCCCTCATTTAACCACAGGTCATTCCACCACTGCATCGTCACCAGGTTACCAAACCACTGGGAAAAAGAGGTGTGTAGGGAGAGCAGGGGTCAACAAAACATGGCTGTGAAAAGTGTGCTTTAGATCAAGACAAGCAGAAAATCCCAGATACACAACCTGATGGGCAAGCTCATGGGCAATGACCTTGGTGATGCCCAGTTTGTCAGAGGTGGAAGACCGTTCAGGATCAAAGAGCAGCCCTGACTCTCTGTACGTGGTCAAGCCCCAGTTCTCCATAGCACCTGACTGAAAATCTGGGATTGCTGCAAGATCTGGGAATAACAGTTTAATATGCCAGTTGATATAAAATTAAAAGTGATAGTTTTGTGTACATATCTGCTGATGCTGATACATAAACATTTACAAAATATACAATTTGAGACTGGATCCATCTGGATTAGCATTACAGAGAAATGTCTTTATTTATTACAAGTGTAGTAAAATAAAAAAATGCAGACAAGTACTTCTGTAGTACAATAAATACATCATGTAATATCAGTCTGAAATATTACTCAAATCTAAATATCTGTAAAATGCCAGGATTTATTTCAAAGCAAATATCTGCTGGCACAGATATCATTCCAGTATCATCATGCAAGCCCTAAATAATTTATTTTAACATCCTAAAGAGAATTAAAGGTGTGGTCAGTCATTTTAAGTCAAAATACTTTTTATAATATTTGCTGAAATGATCTTCACATTCTGGCAATATATGCTCAGAGGGAAAATAAACTCTCTGTGGCTGTCTCAGACTCTGTAAATGGGGGAAAAAACAAATAACGTGGACCACCAACATCCAACCAATCAGGAGGTCTCTACATGCCAATCTAGTGTGTGCAGAGCACTAGCACATCCATGCTATCTAGCTAGATACACAACTGAGCTGTGATACTGAAGCACTGTGACAGCTGGTTAATTCTTCTAAGAAAAAAGTCATAGAAACACCAAACCCAACGAAGACAACCTACAGCAGCTTATTCTGCCAAACAAACTAAGAAAAAAAGAGACAACAGAAACTGATCTAGAGCAAGTGGTGAAGAGAGCTAAGGGTTTTCAAGGTCATGAAGCGTGGCCCCGACCTGTGGCGCTCTTTTGCATTTGCATATTTTGCATAGCACATGTGAAGCTAACAGCAAAGTGTCCGCTGGGTTTCATGGGACTTCAAAAAAGGTAATATAAGGTAGATATGTAGCTCAATTTACTTTGGTGGGCACCAATGTTCAGGTGTACTAGCATAGGCAGCACGAGTGCTGCTGAGCTACAAAACAGCTAGCTTTATCTCGCTGTTGCCAAAACGGATGACCTCACCTTTAAGGCCTACAATATGCAGCCTCATAAAAGTCCAAGAGTGTTACTACCAGTTTGACGGCCTATTTCGCCTGACTGATTATTTCTGGAACAGTGTCCACAAAATTGTTACTCACCTTGTTTGGGAAGTGGATAGGGGATGTCAAAGTAATCATCATAAAAGTCAAGCAGCGTAACTGCTGTGTTGAGGGCATATTCCGCCTGACTGATCTTCTCTGGAACTGTATACACTGATATCTACACAAGGAACATTTTGTCATAAAAAACGCTAATTAGCAGCAGTCAATTAAAGCAGCATTACAAGAGGTGGCAAAATAAGCATACCTCAACTCCATGCTGGCTTCTCTTACTGATGGAAAGGAAGTCACAGACTATGAAGGCCACTAGATAAGTGCTCATCTTCACAGTCACATCATAGTGATCCTCCAATAAGCCACCTGCAAGCTCCACGGTTTTCAGCTTCAAGAAAAACAACAATTGTACCAAAGTAAACATATATAAAGTATTAATACACAATATGTCCTGAAGTATCCAGCCCTTCTAATTAGTTAATTCAGCTACTTCAGCCGGCACCCACTGCTGACTCAGGCATTCAGTTGTGCACACCCAGCTTGTATAATCTCAACTGAAAAGTTTTGCCAATAGAATGGGAATGCTCTGCAGCAGCCACACATGAGCCTAAGATCACCATGCCCAATGCCAAGCATCAGCTATAGGAGAAAAAAGCCCCCCAGCATCGGACTGTGAAGCAGCAGAACTATGTTCTCTGAAGTAAAAAAGAGCTCTATCCAGTATCTCTGACATGAGCTGGAGATTGGTGATTCAAAACTAATCACCCAATATCCAGACCTGACATCACTAATATTCTAGTATAAAGTCTTCCCAAAAGAATTGAGGATTGAGAATTGAGTCCCTATTAATATGTTGGATATGCAACATATTAATATTATTTATTATTGGGTAATTATAAATTATTGATATGTTAGATAAGCAGGTGTACACAAACTCTTGGACATATAGTGTATATCTGGTGTTGACTCATGACATTATCTTGATGGAATAAAGGCAATACCTTAGGCATATTGGAAATAGAAATGTGCCTTGGCTCTCGGCGAACACGAATAGAGAAGTTGGCTTTAAAAGCCGGTTCATCAAAGCAGGGGAACGCAGCTCGAGCATGCGTGGGCTCAAACTGGGTGGATGCCAATGCCCTGAAATAGACATAAATCAATGATTCATTTATGCATTAAAATCACCCCAAGGATTACTAAGAGTCAAAGCCCTAATTTCATTGACACTGATTACTGCAAATCCAGTTTCAGAATAAATTAGACCCAACAGTCATTCTTCACCGGAACTAATACAAGAACTAAATATTAATCTATGCACAAAATCAGTATACCCTAAGTTTACAATTTACTACACTGTTACAACCTAAATAAATTACTTCAAGTGGTAAAAAGCAATTTCAATAGTATTACTCAACTGAAATAAATATGCTTTGAATAAAACAAAACTTCAAAAACATGTAAATCAACTTCTGTCCTGTTATTTTTACAGTGTAGGTACAACTACTTTGTTCCTACACTCATAGATGTACAGTTACTTACTGTACTCTTTACTGTTGCTGTTAAACAACACAGCAGTTTCAGAATCTTACAGAATGTGTAGCGCAAGAGTATAAGGCACAAAGCACTGCTGGACTTTTTAAACATTTTAGTGTTGGTGCTGGGTTATGATTAGTCTGCCAAACAGTATTATCCAACCAACAGTGGTCCTGTAGTCAGAAACTGACAACTGATGAAACTGAGAATGACTAATAAGTTGTGGAGAAAAAAAGTAAACTTCAGTCTCAATTGTACACCCCCACATGGAAAAAATATGGACGTCTTTTTATGTACTTGAAATACATTTCAAGTACACTGCAGTTCATGCTGAAATACATTCCAAACACTAAAATGTATTTCAGAATATACTGCCATATCAACCAAATATATTTTGAAAATAAATTTATTTTAATATGTATGTGAAAATATTACATATATAAATGTACCATACAAAAATAAATGTATGCAAATGTATTCATCAAATACACTTGAACATGTATGAAAATAGCCAAAATAGTTGTCTAATACACTTGACTGTTTGGAATACCTTTTGAAATTTATTTGTATTCTAGTAACTAAATTTTAAGTAAATGAACCTTTCACATGGCAAAGCAAGCGTTGTAGGTGCTGTCTTTCCACATATGTACATGAATACATAAGTACAATGCAAAACACAGAAGTCAGTATTATTTTGTTATATCTGTAACCTTTGTGAAAACCACATACAATTAAAAAATATATAATGACAAATAGAAATAATTGTATTTAAAATTAATGTCTAACAAATACACTGTCAGTTTTCATTCATTGCAAAAAAAAATATTTGATGAATATACCTGGAAAATACATTTAAAATATATCAAAAACATATATTTAACAACTACATTTTAGGCCATTTTCATACATTGCAAAAATATATTTGATAAATACATTTGCAATATATTTGTTTTCCATATGGGCCTACAAGGTGTAATAATAATGTACGTGTGTCAGTAAGTGTACATAGTGTTTCTGGTCACGGTGGTGATATCTGGTCAGTGACAGTCTGATGGTGGTCTCCGCTGATGGACGAGGAAGATTGTGGCTGACAAAATGTAATTTTAATTGTACACCTACAAAGTGCACCTGTATGATGTCTCTTATAAAAGGGCCCGTTAAGGTAGATTCAAGGTGGCTGAACTGACAACTCAGCGTACTGAAAATGCAAGTTGTCGTCTTACCTGATTTCCCCACTGCGTGTGGTGTACGTCCCTTTATAAAAGCCATGGAAAGTGTCAGAGAGGTTAGCTGAGAAATCCAACTGTATTACATGTAGTCCCCTAGTAAACATCAGACTTTCAGAAGAGACCGCAATCTGCTCAAAATATTCAGACTCTTGGAGCTGAAGGAGATGGGGATGCCTGGATCCTAAAAGAAGTGCTTTGGAGATGTGGAGGTTCTTGCTGTTAAGAAAGATGTGTTTGGTTTCCTGCTGGACCTCCAACTGGATCTGTACGCTTCCAGTGAAGTTGAGGAAAGTCAGGTTTGGATGGATCAGGAGGTCGTAGTGAAGTGGCCTAACACTGTCTGGCAGTCTCATCTTGAATGGCAAACTGGTAAATGTAGTGTTTCCAGTATCCTTGGCCTCAAGAGGAGGGACGAGGGAAAGCAAAAGGAGAAGGCTGAACTGCAACATTACTCTGTTATGCTGTTTTCTAAGAGGAGAAACAGAGGGACCATCGACAGCTCTCTCTCGAAATCTGCAAGAGATACAATGTTTTATTAGGTTAACATGAACTACAGGAATGTCTACTTAAAACGCTGTCTATGCTATTTGAACGGCACAGGAAGGAACGACAAGTCTTACTAATGTAGCGTATGGCATTATAACCGGCTTGCCGTGTTGTTTTTTATTGAAAAGAATGAACAAACCTGAATGTAAACGCGGACATCCCTGTTGTGCTAACTGAAAGTGAAAGTAAGCTCTGCTTCCTCCAGAAACGTGGCGGCTAGACGGCGGCTAGGTAGGAATGGCGGCTAAATCCTACCGAGGTTGTCAGTATTCGGGAACTCTTAAAGATTGTGAAAGATTGTGTATTCGGGAACTCTTAAAGAAGTGTAAAGCGTAATTCGAATTTTTTCCCCTGCAGAAAACTAAAAAAAAACCAAAAACAACCAGAGGTTTTAGTTATGGAAACAGCGCCATCTGTCGTTAAAGTATGGAAACGTGTAGTATGTGATGGTGCCACCTTGAGTTGTTGTAGGTGTTAATACGCTGTGAAAATACACTTCGATGATTTGATATCCTGTTTATTAGAAAAACATTCTGTGGGAGTGCTGTCTCACTGCATATGTACATGGTTAATGAAAAGTACCTTTTAGTTATCTATCTATCTATCTATCTATCTATCTATCTATGGCGGGATTATGTCTGTTGCCAAAACTGCTTTACACAGAAAACAGAAAATGTAATACTGACTAATGCAAATTTTTGAGTGAACCACAACAATGCATTAAAAACGTTACTTAATGTTGTGCGGACTGAGGAACCAGCATATTATGAATGTTGCATTTAATATATCTTTAAGCTAAAATTTAGCCATGTTTTATGTTCATGTTTGCTTGATTCAAAATGACTGAATTCTCCCATCATTGCTTCAAAATATAATTTGAGAACTACATACCACAATATCAAAAATACATTGCAATATAATCAGTCAATCAATCAATCAATCAATCAAAAAGAGTATTTTGCTTTTTTTGGTATTTGCTCATGACACAGTGTCAAACGTTAAGGCCCACTGACACTCAAAATGACACTAAATATGGATGAAACAAATTGATACAGTATAATAGAGTGATATTTGGAGTTAAACAACAGTATTGATACATGGAGACCCAACTATCGATATTTCATTGTTTCATATTTGGTATAATAGCATGTATTACACTCATTGTTTGACTAATACATTAAAAAAATGCATTTCTGTCTTAATCCATGAAATGCTGCTGTTAAGACCAATGTTTCTGTTTTGGTCTCAGTTTTATTAAAAGGATGATATGGCAAAAAATCAAACACAGTTTTTCACTTACCCCAGATGTAGTCAAACAGACAGGACATGTTTTGTGTCCAAATTGTGCCTCTTTAGTTTAGTGCTGGATCTAAACGTAAGTCTAACAATGCTAACAGACACTAGAAGTCTATAGACACCCAAATCTTTTCCATAAATACAAATCCAAAACTTCATTAAAGTTGTGCAGAGTTGTTGGCTAGTTTAGGACACATTAAGACTTACGACTGACTTGTGACTATTAAAAATTTACAGAACTTTTCTAAAAGCAGTGGACAGCCCTTTCACACAACGGGTGATAAATTCTCCCTGAATCTGACTCCCCTTCATGTTCACGTGCGTCACACAGACATATGGACTCCTGATTATGTTCCTGATTTCTGTCATTTCTATTCACCATTTGACAGAACACCTGTTGTTTAAAATGGCTAAAAGCTTCTAGTGTTTGTTTGCAAGGTTAGCCTAGTAGCTCCAGCGCTACACTAAAGAAGCAAAATGTATACAACAAACATGTCTTGGTTGATTGATTACATCTGGGAAGTGGAAAATTGTATAAATAAGATTTACCAAACAGTTCCTTTAAGAACAGATAGCACAGTGGATTACACACCTGCCCTTAATGAGGAAAAAAAGGGATTGATCCTACCATTTAAACAGAAATCAGAACTACTACAATCTGTTAATAAAGCTCCTGAAACGTGTAACTACTAACATGACGTTCACATGCCAGTGTAAAAGCTTTTGTTTAATATGTGAAGACAAAGGCTGAGTTGAATGCTACTTTGTCTACTTTACAAATAAGAGCATCTGCTAAATTTGTAAATGTAAGGATAAAGCTTTTTGAATGTTGATTTGGTTATTTCATAGTTCTGATTTACTTTGGTAAAATGATTTATATAAGATGAACAAAGTGCAAGCTTCATTAGATCAAATAAAATTTTCTTTTGGGGAAATCATTGCAGTCGCAATATATCAAAATATCAAACATTGCAGTACTTGCAATAATAAGCATATCACAAATCTTTAAATAGCCCAATAGAATCGTATCATGTCTCAAGTATTGTATCGTATGGGCTGTAGTGATTCCCACATCTACTAAATGGCTACTGAAGGACTGTCTGAATATTTTATGCATATGAGAATTTTACATGACTAAGTACATGTGTATGAGAAATGTTCATGAGCAATATTTGTCAGCGGAGAGCAGATTGCTATAATTAGCACTATAAGTTCAAATCCCATTGAGTAAAGTCATAACACCATGCTGAGCTTTTTCCACCAAGCTTCCAAGAAATTGGTCTGCCTGTTTTACTGGAAAAACAGCATCCAGTGGATGGCTGTGTAGTAAACAGACAGAGCATGTTTTTACATAAAACCTTAAAAAGGACACTTCTAGGGCTTGGTCGTGAGCTGAGAATAGCCTACTGTAACGTATGGATAATCAAAGTGGTAAAACCCAGAGGTAAAGCACCTCTCGCTTCATGGCAATTGCAGCATTAAAATCAATCAGTAGCTTGCTTCATTCAGTGTATCTCCTAAAGCACAAATTCCAATTTGAATACTTGTCATTGCCCAGTCCACCAGGACCAAAGGCAAACAGGATTACTCATCCAAAAAAAAAAGGATTACACAGCAACATTGTGAGCCCAATCATTTTGCTGAGTCTCAAACTGCTGCCAGATCAGATCTGTTGCTGTCTGCCCAGACAGCTTGTAACAGACACATAACAATAATCTGCATGTAATTCACCTTTGGTTTTTCTCCCATTTGAAAAGGTAATTGTATATACACTATATCCAAAAGTTTGAAGACACCTGCTCAATGTTTCTTCTGAAATCAAGGCTATTAATAGTGTGTTTGTCCTCCCTTTACTGCAGCAACAATCTCTATTCTTCTGTTAAGGCTTTACTGTAGATGTTAGAACATTGCTGCAAGGATTTGATTGGATTCAGCCATGAGAGCATTAGTGAGGTCAGGTACTGATGTTGGATGATTAGTTCTGGATCACAAACACCACTCAAACTTCCAAAGGAACTGGGTTGAGCTCAGTCACACCACAGAACACTGTTTCACTGGTCCACAGCCCAATGCTGGGTGGCTTTATAACCCTCTTACCAATGCTTGGCATTTGGCATTGTGATCACTGGATCATTTGTGGCCATTCCAGATTGTCCCATTCTATTGGCGATCATTTTTTATGGAAATTATACCAGCTGTGTGTGTGCAATTGATCCCCTGTGTCAGCAATGGCTGCACCTAAAAGTGCTGAATTTACTAGTATAGAATGGCTGTCAGGACACTTTTGGACATAGAGTAAGTAACAGAACATGAGAGTGATTGTGTTATGATGAATAATACCATGACTGAGATGACATTCGCGCTAGTACACAACCTTGAGTGTTCTATTGTTTTTATACAACAGTTTTGGAAAGTAAAAAAAAAACATTGTTTCAAATACATGCTTTTAATATTGACAGTTTCTTTCACCAGAATAGTAGTTCCATGTTGCATCCATCCCATATAGAAAATAATGCATCTATATTTCTTTACATCCAAAGTATATGTGCAATATATGTTAATATACATGGGATGTCATGGCACAGAAAATGCAGAATAACATATGTACGTAATACAACACATTAAGTGCAATACATATCGATATACCGTCTTATGCAAACGTTTCAACACCTCCATTAAATTACGTTTTGTTCATTTTCTAAGTGAAACTCAATATGTTAAAGTGTGCAGAAGTGTGTTCTCGATAGAGGATGTGTACTTATTTTCAATTATAAAGTCAACAAATAATTTGAGGTGCCTAAACTTTTGTACATGACTGTATGTGGTGACGTAGCACCAAAATGTCAAACAAAGAAAAATATATGTACATATGTTTCCTCATATTCATATACGTTCACTGAGCAGTTTATTAGGAACACTATACTAATAGTGGGTAGGGTATCCCTCTCAGAACAGACTTAATTCTTTGTGGCATGCATTCCACTCCTTTGTGATTCTGGACCATGTTGACATGATTGCATCATGCAATTCCTGCAGATTTTTAGGTGCACTTTTTTCTGCAAATCTCCCCATTCAACAACATCCTGAAGATATTCTAATGGATTGAGACCAGGTGACTAGGAACACCACTGAAGAACACTGCACTCATTGTCATGTTCATGAAACCACTTTGAGACAACTTTTGCTTTGCGACATGAAGCATTATCATGCTGAAAGCAATGAGATGGGTAAATTCTGGCCATGAAGGGATGCACATGGTCAGCAACAATGCTCAAATTGTCTGTGACATTCAAGCGATTATTGATTGGTAGTGACAGGCCCAAAGTGTGCTGAGAAAACATTCCCCACACCATTCCCCACCCTGCCTTACTCTTGGGGCTTGAGCCTGGTTTTCCTGTAAAGCTGCATTGTGACAACACCAGTTGTAAAAAGCACTGTATAAATAAACTTGACTTGACATTACACCATCTCCACCAGCCTAGACTGTTGACTCAAGGCAGGTTGGGTTCATGGATTCATGCTGTTGGCACCAAATTCTGACCCTACTATCTCTGTGCCTCAGCAAAACTGAGATTAATCAGATCAGGCTACTTTTTTCCAGTCTTTAACTGTCCAGTATATATATATATATATATATATATATAAAATGACACAGACAGAATTCTTTTCAACTAATCAGACTGTATGGTTGTTTTTTTTCAGCATATTACACTATGTATGGGAAAACAGCACGCCGAGTTTGTGATGCAGTCTTAATTGCAGGTTTGGGATTTCACGTATGACCCTGTATATGCAAGAAGCACAAGAACCATATTATATATATGTGTGTGTGTGTGTCTTTCACATACATATAATATTCATATTTAATACTTAATGGATAAGGGAAATATTTCATTTTAATGATGATATGAATAGAAATGAATGTCCATGTCTGAGTACTGCATGATTCCAAAGACTCTCTACTATTGCTAGTTTAGTTTTTAAGAAGTGATCTGTTGTAGTTCTTTCAAAGACTGATCCCCCCCCCCCAAGTCCTCCTGCAGTTTCACATGCGCAGAATGATGCTGCATGTCTCAGTGTTGCCATGCACATTCAGTGCACATGGCAACACACAGGCTAAATATAGCTCGGCAGCCCAGCAGTGCACTGAGCTCAGGGTTTCTTCCTGTGAACACAGGATTCCTCCATCATGCAACACCCCCCCACTACCCACCCCCGCCTCCCCCGCCATCTGCATTTGCTGGGGTAGTAGTTTTACTCCCATTCACAGACTCCAGGGAACTTGATCTGGTTGCCAGTGGTTGCAGAGCGTTACAACGTTAGGAAGGAATACTTTCTAATCTCTATCTGCTCACTAACTTCTACTGTAAGTCTGTTTTGAGTCATTGGGTTTTCTGTTCTTTTCTATGAACAGAGAAATGCTTCAAAGTTATTATGCATGAAAACTGAAGGTACGCTATCAAAGCACCAGATAGATATTAGGCTGAGGAGTATTCCTATAAGATTTTCTTGCTCTAAAGAGAGTAATGGTAGCAGCCTCACTCTCGTTCTCTGTCTTGCTTGTATAACGTACATAAGAGAAACCTCATTCTGAGACCATAACTATGAACTACCATGATTCATCTGTTTTGAACTCTGAGCACATTCAGCTTGTGGTCATCAGACTGCTTTCCACAAATTTATTCAACTAGTGAAAGCAACGTCCTTCAAATGTTACATATAATGGCACTATAAGTGCAAGTGCAAAAGTCAACAAGTAGGCCCTTCTAGTATCTTGATACTGTGATTTTGCTCCTCACTGGTCAAAGCTGTGAAAAACTCAAACTCCAACCTAACCCCCAAATCACCAAAACCCACGCTTTCACTGATGCCCACATGGTAGGCACACAGATACAAGAAAGGCTCTGTGTTAGCGTTTAGATCTTAACGTAATGCCAGCATGGCGCTCTTCATGTGTGAACTAATCCCAGTGTGATTTGGCATCAGGCCCAGTGTGGTGTTACATGCCCACCAGCCCTCAGTGCTTCCACTGGTTCACTGTGCAGCCCTTATGGGTGATGGCAGTAGGGGCGAAGGTCACTGAGGCCATCTGAGGAGATTGGAGGGTCAGCCGGGGCACAGTGCCCAACATCTTCTGGTGGACATGTGAGAAAAGCATACAAGTCACCAGCAAATACAAAAGATGCAATCTTACATTTGATTTCTTAACTACACTCTTAAAAATAAAGCGTTTTTTAAACAATGCCATAGAACAAGGGTGCCTAATCTTATCTGCCTGCAGGCTTTCGTTCCATCTAAACAGTAGTACGCCTGGTTCTACTAGTTTATTCAGTTAGTTTCAATGTTTAAACAATTGATGAGGTGTGCTCCTGCTTGGTTGAAATGAAAACATGCAGCCCCTTGGCTCTTTGCAGATAAGACTGGACAACGGTACATTTGGATCTCCAACGCACTATATTTTTAAATATACTATATTTATAACTTTTTTTAAGTTTAAAGAACCTCTACATATCGTATAGATGATACTAATTAAAGTTTTTTCCTACAAGTGTAAATCCAAGCCAAGAACCATTTAGGACCCCTTATTTTTCAGGAGTGTTGTTCATTTCTTATCTACTGAAATGACTTATCCTATTGGATTTTGAACACAGATAATGAAACCAAAAACTGCAATGTCAGTCATAAACATGGCAAGAAAAAAACAGCAGCAACTGGAACATATGATCGTTTTCCATCAATTATAATTGCCTTTATTCTGTTACAAACATACATAGCATTTTCTAAATATAGAATTGTAAATCTCGATTTTGAAAAACTGGGTAGGCATGGGGAAATGGTTGGCCACCCAGCATGTGGTGTGTAGGAGGCAGGCTGCGATTAGGGGCTTGATGGGGAACCAGCAGAAATGGAGTAACTGAGTCTTCGAGATAGAAACTTCCTGTTGCAGGAATATTGATCTAGTCTGCCTCCTAACCACTTCAGCATCAACAGTGAAGGGAGGTATACGATGAGTGTGTAGAGATACATTTGAGAATGCCTAAAACCTGAGTAGAAACCAGACATGGGCTTGCTGTTCACATTTAGAATCTCTACTAACATCAGATCAACTGAAAAATAACTATTTCTTAGCCTTGAGAAAGAATGTTCCATGAATTGGCGGAGTCCAAACTTGCATGTCCAAAACAGTCTGTGAAGAAACTGTTAAGACTTGGAAAATTACCTGAAATAGCAAAACAGTTAACAGAAATCATCAACAGTGGTATTGTCTCTAGTGAGGAATAAAGAAACGGCTTCAACATATGGAAACGGCTTACAGAGCTTGCACACTGCCCGGTCTTGAGACAAAGGAAGACAAATGAACCAACTATGGTAAAGAAACTGGCAAAAAACATAGTCACAAGCCCATCAATTGGTGTGTGTATTGCCTCCCATCATCACCACTTCCATTCTAACAATGTGACATTACATGGGTTTTTAACGAGCTCCCTAACTAGTATAGCATCTGAAATTAACTGTAGTGCATACAATTGACTGTAATTAGCAGAATGCCTGTTTCTACTGTTTGGCAGAGGTCTTGCAGCATAACCCAAATGTGTTACTTTAAAAGCAGCAATGCTTAAAAAGCAACCAGCAAGACTCCCTCTGAACTGCACTGATAATTCAGACATCTTACTGTGTCGACTTGGGTCTTAAAAAAATAGGTTCACATAGACTGATAAAACTGCATTAGTTCAGTTACATACATTACTACAACCACAGAGAAGTCACAGGTCCACAGAATGATCACGTTTCCTTTCTTGCATTCAAAAAGGATCAGCAAGGCTGGCTTAGAGGGGAAAAATAGCAGTCAGTCTCTGGACGGTGGCTCCCCTTGAGGGGGGGTGGGGGGGTGGGGGGGCAAAAAACAAACAAAAGAGTGGCCCAGCAGCTGAGAAGAGAGTAGAAGCATCTTGCCAAAAGCTGCTGGTGCTGTCACACGTTCATTTGGTTTGCCCCAGCTTAAAAAAAATAAATACATAAAATCTCACATCTACCCACTGCACCTTACTGTGCTGTGCTATGTCAATTTTTCAACAAATGGCAAAGAGCTCATTCTGAACTAATGTCAGCTGCAAGCCCCTCTCAGTTGGAAGGTATGGCAAGATGGCAAGAACAGCTTTACAGTTTCACTGTGTGTTTTGCACAGCCTTATTGATGCAGTTAAGGTTTCAGAAGGCGTGCATGTGGTACGTATGTGTGTGTGTGCAGCAGCCTCGACAATCAAGCCCTTGTATCTTTCTGCACTTGAGAGCTAACGGCACAGCTGAATCAGTCAGCCACCAGGGCAGGAATGCTTGCTTGCCCATGCCTCTCACATAGCCAGCCTGCTAAGTCAGCTCACTGCTGCAAGGGAACAGCTGCTGCAATTGTAGATTCGGAGAGAAGCCGAATGGACGGGGCACAGAGAACAGAGCAAAGACAGCAGGGGTACCAATGCCCAGATCGGCACACATGACCACATTCAGTAACTGACAAGCAGAGGAGTGCCAAAATGTTGACAGATCAATGTTGCCTCTGCCTCTATTTGCCTGTCAGAAACCATGCTCTGCTCACCGTTGAACTTGACTGCATCTTCTGCATAAAGCGAACGTGTTCATTCATCACTGAAAAGGATCTCGATCATTTACAGCAGAATACACAATGACAAAGAGCTGCCATTTAACATGAAACAGTACAAGTCAGTAGGGATGATGAAAGGTGGTTTTTTATATATATATATATATATATATATATATATATATGAATACAAAAAACACTGCTGACCCCCCTGCCCAAAGAGCAGAAAAAAAAGAATATCAAGACTTACATCACTCTCAATAAACTATGCACCGTGTTTGCTGGGATTTCGGCTCTTCTTCTTAAAGTGCGACAATGAAATGTATAAAAGAAATGAACATAACACACCTTAACTATTCACGGCCATACACCACTGGTCTACTATTGTAACTCACACATTCCTTGCAAGAAAAGAACATACATGATGAGATCTTCTAGAACTCCTAGACAACTGGTAAATTATGAAGCATGATTAAGAAAGGAGTTGACATCTTTGTTTGCTTGCCCATTATATTCATGTTCTGGAGAAAAGACAGTAACAAAACACTGTAGCATCAGTAGTGCTACATAAACTATGTTTATAAAACTTAATAAATTAAACAAAAGGCAATGTGGGACAGGCATACACAACAACATAATAAAGGACCACTTGACAGACTCGAGTGCCATTTCATATCACTGTGTCAAATTAAAGGGCATGTATAATCTGTTCAATGAATGAAAACTAGTGTTGCCAGTTAGCATGACATCATGCTAACCAGCAACATGAATTTTCAATCATTGTTAGCCATGATGGCGTTTCCAGGTTGAACTACCCCGTTAAATAGAGTAATTTAAACAAAAAAAATGTAAAAAGCTAATAAAGAATGAATACAATGTAAACGCAGACAATGTGCAAGAAGTAAGGGATGAGATTTACGTAATCCGAAATAAACTGTCAAGATACATCATATTTACGTTCTTTACTTATATAGATGCTATACTCCAACACTTTTTGGAAAACAAATACACTGGACAGTCTTCAAATCCCATATTTTTACTTTTTTAAAAAATTAGCCTCTTAGGCTTTAATAATTCTGCAATACACATATAACTTCTATTATTTTATGTATTAAAAATATGCTGGTTTGTTCAGTAATTCTGTCATAAAGAATAATCTGTCTTTATATTTTTTCTAAACAAAAAATGAAAAAGGGAAGAAAAGAAAAACATTCATCTATGCACTTTTTGACCTTTAAATAAAAAAGGAGTGTGGTTTCATTGCAGTGCCTCAGCTGTTCTGTCCTATCTAGAGGGAGGAAATGACAAATTAATTCCAATGTACTCATGGAGATTTGGACCCGAGTTGGAAAAGACAATGCTCTCATGAACTGTTTTCACATCACTGCAGTTAGCAGTGAGTGTTCATTGTCTCAGTGTCAATGATAAGTTTAGATGCATTTGATACATTTTACACACTTATTATCCATTAGGCCTATACCTTTTCTGCATTCTTTGCAAGTCTTACTCAATAGACAAAGGTTCCTGTCATGTTTGTGTTTTCCATGATCTGGCCATCATATCACTAAACCAATTAATCAATTTTCATATATCAGGCTAAACAATTAGTCTTCAGATTGATTTGTGATGGTGGGCGTTTCTAAAGGTTCCTATGGCTTGTCAGGTAGCGCCCATTTAGACAACAGCCTATAAGAATTGAATAAATGAACAAAGTTTGACAGCGTGACAGCATTGTTAAATTCCCCCGGTCCACTCCGACAGACTATCACAGTCTTGGCCACAGTCAAGACTATATTGTGGTCTATGACCACCACTGAGACTATATTATGGTCAAGGCTATATTATGGTCTATGGCCGCCATTGAGACTATAGTGAACGCCAGTCTACTCTCCCACTTTGCTTTTGAACTATACTGAACAATGCGCACACTTTTCAGTTGCTTGGGTTCATGTGTGCTGACTGCCTCTGAGATTCAGCAGCATTAGTGTTTGCCATTACAAAAGTTTAAATGTCACTTCAGACAATTAAACTTGCTGGTTTAGGACAAGGGCAGCTTCAGTAATAAATCCTACCTCTCAACTCATGTAACAACCTCTCGCCCCATGGCTTTAGACGGGTTTTCTCTCCAAAAATCCCCCAAACCTCATCACATAAACTTCACAGACCTTATTATCTAGTATTTTCTGTCAAATGAACATCACGCCACAATATTTTAGTAGGCTATTGTTTTAAGTCCGATTCGTCATGCACTTTTTTGTCGCGGTCGTTTCTGCAATCTCGTAACAACTTCTAGGAGCAGAATCTCATCCGAGCTCTGTAGCTGACTGGGATCAGTCGTCGTCCACGTCCTCGCCCTCTGATTCCTCTCTCCTCTCGTACATTTTATCCCGTTGTCTCTCCTGGATCTCCTTCATCTCCTCGGCGTAGCGGCAGAAAGCGCCGCCGAATTTACTCCAGGCTTTAAAAGGGATCGTGATGGAGTTCCGGTAGCTCGGCTTTACCTCGCTCACGCGCAGGAACACGCCGTATTTGTTGGCCCCAACGTCAAAAAAGAACCTTTTGGAGTCCACCATGATGGACGTGCCCTCGGGGAGCTCACCGTACCCCCCGGCCGCCGTGCCGCCGCTCAGCTCCTCGTCGTCGCCGCCATAGTCGTCGATTAGCTTGGCCAAGGCATCGCGAAACTCGATCAAGCCCTGCGCGGGCAGCGCGATAGTCTGGCCCGCCTGCAGGCCGCCGCCGGGGCCTGTCACGCCAAAGCCGGGGCCTCGATTCACGGTCTGCCGGATCCGCAGGAACCGCCCCCGCTGGTTCTCCTTTAGGTCGAGGTAGTATTTGCGGTTCTCCCGCACCAGAAACTCGCTTTTCAGCGCTCGCCGCGGGCCGCTATCGTCGCCACCGGATGACTGGGCGATTTGCTCCGGGGTGCTGGGCCCCAGCTGGGCGTAATGCTCGATGAAGTCGCCGAGGTAGTCACGGAACTCGGCCGCAACCGACATGGAGAGAGTCAGGCGGCTCTTGGAGCCCCCGGCGCCCACCTCTGCTATCTTGATGAACCTGCCCTTTGAGTTCTGCTTGACGTCCAGATAAAAGCGCTTGTTTTGGATGTCAAGGCGCTTGGACGCCAGTTCCTGGGTCTCCTGCTCCCGTTGGAAGTGCTGGAAGCCCCCGCTACCACCGCCGCCACCGCCTCCTCCCCCTCCACCGCTGCTGCCACCGCCGCGCTCGCTCCCGCTGTCTCCATCCGCCATCTTCACCGCCACCAGCCAACTTCTCCCTGCGTACGGCGGACAGAGAACGCCGACGACGTCACCCTTCTCGAGGTCGAATCGCTGCAATCCCATTGGCCACGCGCCTGTCAGTGACAGACATTCGATGCCGCTCATAGGTCACAGCTCCTGTTGCTCGTAATTCAGGGGCGGGTCGGTGGTCTGCGATTGGTTTTAACTATTCTGACAGCACTTCCTGTAATTGCGCTCGGCCACTTCTGAAGGAGAAATGCCCCTCTAAGGTCTGTTGCAGGACCAGCTTCCATTCTCCAAAGCGTTACAGTTAAACAGTCGTTGTCGAAGCGAAAACTGATCACAGATCAGCCTGTTCAATGTAAAGTGCCTTCTACACTGCTGGTGTAGCGGCTGAGTGAATGACGTAGGTATGTCAGGAAAGTCCTGTTATTCACACCATCCCACCATATTGTGAAGATCCCAGTATAATATTACTGAAGTATAACAATAAAATTATTTGCTCTCGAATGTAATATTATATTTATGCGAAACTGTTTAGGGTAAAGGGTACATAGGCAGACTTTTTTAAATGATACTTTTATGAATATTATTAATTTATAGTTCATACTCCATTTCGATACAACTTTGCCATATGAACAACCAGCAAACATAAAAAAGGCATGGAAGATTTCTGTCATATTTATATAGCCATAACATTATGACCACCTCCTTGTTTCTACACTAATTGTCAATTTTATCAACTCCACTTACTATATAGGTGCACTTTGTAGTTCTACAGTTACAGACTGTAGTCCATCTGTTTCTCTGCATGCTTTGTCAGCCCCCTTTTACCTTGTTCTTCAGTGGTCAGGACCTCCATAGACCCTCACAGAGCAGGTACTATTTGGATGGTGGATCATTCTCAGCACTGCTGTAACACTGACATGGTGGTGGTGTGTTAGTGTGTGTTGTGCTGGTACGAGTGGATCAGACACAGCAGTGCCTCTGGAGTTTTTAAACACTGTGTCCACTCACTGTCCACTCTGTTAGACACTCCTACCTTGTCAGTCCACCTTGTAGATGTAAAGTCAGAGACGATAGCACATCTGCTGCTACACAGTTTGTGTTGGTCATCCTCTAGTCCTTCATCAGTGGTCACAGGACACTGCCCACAGGACGTTGTTGGCTGGATATTTTTGGTTGGTGGACTATTCTCAGTCCAGCAGTGACACTGAGGTGTTTAAAAACTCCAGCAGCACTGCTGTGTCTGATCCACTCAGACCAGCGCAACACACACTAACACACCATCACCACGTCAGTGTTACTGCAGTGCTGAGAATGATCCACCACCCAAATAGTACCTGCTCTGTGAGGGTCCATGGGGGTCCTGACCACTGAAGAACACGGTAAAAGGGGGCTAACAAAGTATGCAGAGAAACAGATGGACTACAGTCTGTAACTGTAGAACTACAAAGTGCACCTATATAGTAAGTGGAGCTGATAAAATGGACAATTAGTGTAGAAACAAGGACATAATGGTCATAATGTTATGCCTGATCTGTGTATCTATGAAAATACTAATCATATAGGTTTCATACGTTACAGTTTCACCTTTAACTGTAAGTCATACATGTCACACAATCAGTTAAGAGAGGATACATATTTTCCTAAACTGTAATAATATTTGTCGATTTTCTGCCCACATCCTAAAAGGGGCATCCAACTCAAGCAAGCATCAACTTTGCCAGGTCAGTTAGTCACTTAGAAGAAGCATTTGGTTTATTGCATATTTGTGTGAATTCAATTAGCCATGAAATTAGGACTGTGAAAATTATAAAGAAGGAAAACCGAAGTGGATTGCAGAATTTTAGGGCAGGACCAGATCTACCACATTCCCTTCCCCAACATGGAAGACATTTTAGTTTTAGACACATGCTTTTATTTCATCCCAAATTTGAAGCATAATGGTTATTTGACATTTTGGTTTTTTTAAAAAGTGCAAGGGAACAAACTAAATGTTATATTAAAATATTTATATTAAAACAGAAATGAGCATTTTATTTCAGCATGCCATCCGGTGGTTACTCCAAATGGAATGTACAGTGGCAAGAAAAAGTATGTGAACCTTTTGAAATGACTGGCTTTTATGTATCAAGCCATCCTAAAATATGGTGTGGCTTTCATCAAGTTACAATAAAGAACAAACACAGTCTGTTTAAACCAATAACAATAAACAAAACAATTATGTGTTGTTCTTGTCCATATTGAATACGACATTCAAACATCAACAGTGTAGGCTGGAAAAAGTATATGAACCCCTAGGCTAATTACATCAACAAAAGCTAATTGGAGTCCCATCAGTGAAAATAGATTGGTGAGCTACTTTGTTTAAAAAAAACACTCAAACATTTTGAGTTTGCTATTTAAAAGAAGCATCTGCTGATGTGAAGCGTGCCTCACAAAAAAACGAACAATAATTGCTGTTTTGCATAAAGTTGGAACAGGTTCCAAAGTAATCTCAAAGAGTTTGGTGTTCATCAGTCTACAATATCACTCCAAAGACACAACACAGAATGTGCAATGAGGTAAAAAAGAACCTTAGAGTAACAGCTGAAGTCTTGAAGGAGTCACTGGAACTGGTTAACATCTCTGTTCATGAGTGTGCCATACGAAAAAACATTGAAAAAGCATGATGTCCATGTCAGGATACCATGGAAGAAGCTGTTGCTCTCCAAAAAAAAAAAACATTGCTGCATGCCTGAAGTTTGCTAAGAAGCACATGACACTCAAAAGTGCTACTGGGAAAATGTTTTGTAGACTGATGAAAGTAAGCTTGAATTTTTTGGGAAGAAAACAGCACTTCATAAAAAAAGACATAAAAAGGGCACCAGCATGAAAACATCATCCCAGCGGTGAAGTATGGTGGAATGAGCACCATGATTTGGCGCTGCTTTGCTGCCTCTGGGTCTGGACAGATTGCCATCAAGGGAAAAATGAATTCCCAGGTTTAATAAGGTATCCTACATCATGTCAGAGTAGCTGCCCACCAGCTAAAGCTTGGCAGAGGCTTGGTGGTGCAGCAGGACAATGACCCTAAACATGGAAATAAATCTACTACAGGATGGCATTAAAAAAAATAAATCCACCTTGTGGAATGGCCCAGTCAGAGCCCAGACCTCAACCCAATAGAGATGCTGTGGAATAATCTCTAGAAAGCCGTTCACACCAGACATCCAAAGAATATGGCTGAGCTGAAGCAGTTCTGGAAGTAAGAATGGTCCAAAATTCCTATTGAACTTTGTGCAGGTCTGATCTGCAGCTACTGGAAGTGCTTGCTTGAGATTACTGTTGCCTAAGAAGGTTTGACCAGCTATTAAATTCAAGAATTGTTTTACTTTTCCCACCAGCGCTGTGAATGTTTAGTTGGTGTGCAAAATAAAGACATGAAAATTTCTAATTGTTTGTGTGTTATTAGCACATTATTTTTGTGCTAATAACATTAAAATTGTGTTTTTGTTGACAGACCTTCAGCTAGCTAGCTAGATAGATAGATAGTTAGATCGATACTGTCTGTATTACTTTACATCACTTTTGCTTTTTATCTTATCATTTGTAGTTTTTGTACCTTTTGTATCTTGGACTTGGATGCAGTACCTAGTACTTACCACATGAAGTCACTCTAGGACTTTTATAAACTCTAAAACAGCTTACTGAAGCAGCTATGACAGTATATGGACCTCTGTGATCAAATCAAATGTAATCTGTTTCTTTGAATTATATTATTTTTCAAGCCAATTTGCTTTTATAGTATTAGTAAAAATAAATAGGCCTCTATTCCATCCTTTCACCATTTCCATTCACATTTCATCAGCACACCAAACATCAATCCGTTAAAAAAATCCACACCAAACACATAAACAGAATGTATCACTGGTGCCTGAGGAAAACCTCGTATGTCAGTTTATGACATAATTTGAAAGTACCTGTTGTCCTTTACATTGTGTGTTTTTTCCTTCTTCTGTGAAGTTATCATTTTGGCGTTACAAGGTTTTGCTCCGACAGCAGCGATATACTATTACAAAACCAAGTAAACCTTGGTTCAACCATATACATGTTTTTTTTTTCTTTTCTCTGTAGTCCTTAGTCTTTTTTGGCTTACACACAATCTAAAACTTCAGCAGATATTTGACACTGCTGCATAATAACTTTACATCAACCCCAACAAATATAGCGATGGCACATTTCTCATTAAATTTCCATTTCATCCATTCAAATTGGATACTTCAATTAACACTAATGGCACTCATCTATCTGTCCCTATCCTTTTTTTCATTCATCAATCTTCCCATTAAAACCCATTGATTTTGTAAATACTTGAATTTTCAAAGTACGGCCATCAAACATGGTTGAACAATTAAACCACTGACCCAAAACATGTCACTGTGGTGCTCCATACTCATAAAAACACTTCTCTACCTCATCCCAGATTGCAAGCATACATCAGTCTGCTGGCTTAATACACACCATGACTGTATGCCACTGCTGGTCCATCCAGAATATTGGCCTGCATGCAAGGCCTAACTAGTTTCTAGTACAGTTTTAAATGCACATGGCCTTTAAAAAAAACAAAAAAACAAAAAGAAACCTAGGCCTATTATAAAATGATGTTGTAGAAAACATTATTGCTGAAATTATGCTACATTGGTTATATTTGTCTTGATTGTATAATGAACTGCCTGCTTGGAGGCAGCAATGAACCGCTAAGAGACATTGTGTGCTGTTCTAAAGTGTTGCTCCAGGTGACAACGGACATTCAACAGTCAGCACACAGATGCAGAAACTTCCCTGACACAGTAAAATGTACATCTCTTTGCTAGTTTATTTTAAAAGTATAGCTATGTTTAGTATATTTCAGTATTGAGGCATCCCCATAAAGTAAGACACAGGAGACAATGAATGTACCCCTACAAGTGCTGTTCAATAAAACCCAGTACAAAAGCGCACATACAAAGACCTCACCTCGTGAAGGAGGTCAC